ATCGAAAGGGAGCAGAGTTCATGTTACTCACTTCGGACTTGTCCTTGGCCGAACTGAGGCGCTCGTTGAACTCATAGAGCTTCTCGATGTCGGAGGAATCGTCGGAAGCTTCGGCCATTAAAGCCAATTAGAGATTACAGAAGCTCAGAGAGGTTGGAAGATAGAAGAAGGAAGCTAGGGTTAGAAATGGAGGGATGGAGGGAGAAATGCCAACTTTTGTAATTCCGTTAAATTTGGTTCCGAGAAGAAATAAAATCATTTTTATGGAGATTTCTCCTCTATTCTGTCTTTTTCTTTTTTTAATTTAATAATAATGGAAACCAACACTTTTAAACAATTAAACTCCTTAATTTTATTTTTGAAATTTGATTCATGAAAGTTAATTTAAATAAGAGTAAATACTCAAAATGGTCCCTCAACTATAGCTAAATTCACAAATTGATCTTTGACTTTCAATTTCAACCAATTAAGTCCTTAACTTTGTAATTTTGACACGATTTGGTCCTCCATCTATTTGATCGTTTGTTGACCGTGATCGACGATCTCCAGAAGAACCTTCAGCTCTCGTCGAAGCACGTGAAGACCTCCAGGATGACGTTGCACTGGTTCGGAAACACGTCATCTTCTTCGCTCTGGTACGAACTCAACTACATTGAATTCAAAAGGAGGATTAAGAAATGGATTCAAATGTAACAGTGCGGTCTGGAAATGCAACCAAAACCTTTAAAAACCGACGATGGACCATGAAATTACATATACATCCTCCAAAATCACAGTCAACAAACTGTCAAATAGACAGAGGACCAAATTGTGTTAAAATTACAAAGTTAAGGACTTAATTGGTTGAAATTGGAAGTCGAGGGACCATTTTGGGTTTTTACTCTTTAAATAAATAGAAAATGGTCAAATAGACCCTTGACCCTTCAACTTTAAGTAAAAGTTTAATTAGGCCCTTTAATTTTTTAAAAGTGTAATCAAACATTCGAACTTGTTATTTTGATGCTTCTAAATTCAATAATCAGTTATTCACCTAGAATAACCGGCCACTCAGATTCCAGCCACATTTCCGATCATAATTCCAGCAAAAAAATAAAAATAAAAAAAAAATCCGACAACAATAAAAAAAAATTAAGAAAAAAAAAAAAAAGGTGGCCTAACCGGGGAAGACAACTGGTCGGTCGTCTTCTGCGGTGGAGAAGGTGACCAGTCTGGTCGCTCTTTTTCCTAAATAAATTTATTCTCTTAATTATTTATAATATTACGCTTTAGTCCCTAGTGTAATATACTCCGTAATTGTCAAACTCTATTATAAAACTTTTTTTATATTATTTTTGTCGTTTAGAATCAATATCAATTGTTAAAGTTTTACTCTCTCTATAGAAACATTATTTTTAACTATGACTATTGATTTTAAATGATAAAAATAACGTTATATGTTAATTAAGTTTGACAATTATATAAAACTATAAACTAAAAGTGTAACATTTTGAACAATTAAGTAAAATAATCCAGATGTCAAAAATGTCATTTTCTTTTATTTAATTATATGCTTTGTTTCGAAATTAGCTTGTTTAAGATGTAATTATTCTCATTTTTTGTGCCGACTTTTATATTACTTTCATATTTAATCCCTAAATATTATTTTTAATACAATGTGTGCATGTCTTCCATGCCACAATTAGTTCCTCTAGTAAATTTTTTTTAATACATAATTAGAATGTTTCACATTTCTATTTTAAAATTGTACCAGCTTGAACATTTTGAGTTCTTTTTTTTTTTAGAAAATGAATGATTTTGGAATGAAAATGTGACAAATTTTAATTGTTTTTTTTTTTATCAAATATTTGATTGGAATTACCAAATTTAACAAAAACAAATAAAAACATACACTAAATGTGAAAAAAAAAATATATATATATATATATATGTATATATATATATATATATATATATATATATATATATATATATATATATTTATTTATTTATTTATTGATCAAATGTTAAACTCTACTAAATATAAATATAATAAAAGTCAACATTAGTAAGATTATGGTGGTGATGTGCATTGATAGTTTGTATTTTTATTTATTTATTTATTCTTTGTACAAGGATAAAACATTTTCAAAGTTACCATTTTTTTATTTTTTTTTATTTTTACATGCACCTAACTAACTGTGGGGTAAGGAGTTAGATGAATAATTGGTCGAAGTAGTCAATCAAACAGAGTGGAGTAATGGAGCGGGGGGCGGGTGGACGAGTGATGGAGGTAGAAGAGTCAGGCGGTATGCCAAGTGAAGGATGCAGGCGACATGCAGAGTAAAGGAGTCAGGCAGTATGCTGAGGAAATGAAGCATGGGCACGCAAATAGGGGTGTTAGTAAACAGAGCTTTCGGTAAACTATTCGTGTTCGTGTTCGTGTTCGGTAAGCATTCATTTATGTTTGTTTATTAAGGTAAACGAACATAAATGAACAAATTTTAAAGCTCGGTTCATAAACGAACATAGTCTAAACAGTTGTAGGCTCGTTTGTTAAGAGCTTGTGAACAAGCTCATTTGTGTTCGTTAATAATGTTCACACACACATACACACACACACACACACACATATATATATATATATATATATATATATATATATATATATATATATATATATATATATATATATATTCAAATGAGAATAGGGCGTTCGAAAATGCACCACACATAATCGTGTATTTTCAAACACTGTGTGGTGCATTTATGCATACCTAATGGTGTAAATCGCACCGATGCACGGAAAGCTCTGTTCTCACAAAAACCTGACCCTATATATATATATATATATATATATATATATATATATATATATATATATATATATATATATATATATATATATATATATATATATATATATATATATATATATATATATATATATATATATATATATATATATATATATATATATTAGATGCTATAATTGAACTTATTCAGTTATTTGTATTAGTTTTGTAGTTATTTGTTTGGTTATTGTTCTTGAATGTAGATTATTTCTTGTTCACGAACGAATTGTGATCATGAACATGTGTAGGTGTTTGGTTATTAGGTGCTCACGAACGTGTTTTTGAACGTAAACGAACATGACGTGTTCGTTAATGTTAATAAACACGTTCGCGAACGTGTTCGTGAAGTTAACAAACACTAATGAACCTTAACAAACGAACACGAACATGAGTTTCAAAAACCTTAACAAACGAACACGAACACGAACACAAATACAAACACAAACACTTCAAAATTTTTAACAAATGAACACGAACAATCTCCGTTCGTTTTTGTTCGGTTCGTTAACAGCCCTACGTGCAAACTGCAAAGTAAATGAGTCGGGCAGTACGCCGAGTAAAGGAGGCAAGCGGCGTGCAGAGTAGAGGAATCAGGTGGTATGCCTAGAGAAAGAAGCAGACGACGTGCAAAGTAGAGGAATCAGACGGTATTTTAATTACTGTAGGTGTCATTTTAGATCACTTAGTATTAATGAATGATGTGTTCAGTTTTGATAATTTAATGGTATTAAGATAAGCTTTAATAATATTATGCCTTTTACCATTAATTGTATGGAATGTGACACCAGTTTTGATTTCATAACTTATTATTATTATTATTATTATTGTTGTTGTACGTTATTGTCGTCGTCGTCGTTGATGTTATTATTATTATTATTATTATTATTATTATTATTATTATTATTATACATTCTATCATATATGTTAATAGTAATTATGCTTTAACTAATACATTTAACGACTTGGTAGACTGATATCATAATTATGTTTCACAGTTAAAGAACTTCATTTGGTGTTAGACATGAAGACTAGCAATAACTGGGTTCAAAGGAGTCTATAAAATTATAGATATGTATACTACTGGCAATGTACAATGTATCTATGATATTATTTATTGATCATAGTTGGTCTTACATATTTACATAACCAAGTGAAAAAAACACTACACGTATAAGAGAACAACATGGAATTGAATATACCTACATAAGACAGTGATTACATTATAATAGTAAGAAACTTACTAATGAATTTATTAAATGTGTTCACAAAAGACAAACTTGAATTGTATTTACACTCCACATAGGGGTTTGTTCACCATAAAGGCTAAAATTAGTATATATAGATCTATCTCTTCATAATCTGTTAGTTTAACAACTATCTCCTCGTAAGAAATAGTAGAACTACAGATTTCTACACCTGCAATTGGAAAAAGATAATGAAAGATAACTAACATCATATTAAATATAGACTTCTACACCCGCAAGATTAAAAACAATTCAACAAATATGATAAAAAGTTAACATAAATTGATATAAAAATAAATGTCACCAGGCATAATTAACCACAATCAGAAACTCTACTGCACCACAGCAGTAGATTGTCACCCCACACACACACACACACACACACAACTTGTAACCAGGCATAATTGTCTGTGTAACACCACAAAAATGTACTGTATAAACCAACTGTTTATTTTAAAACAAATATAAATTTTACCTCTGCATACTTGGCCTTTCAATCTTTGGGAGTCATTCCCTATCCCATACCAAAATAGTTTCATGTGTATATAAATAAGAGTAAATACCCAAAATGGTCCATCGACTATAACTAAATTCACAAATTGGTCCTTGACTTTCAATTTCAACCAATTAAGTCCTTAACTTTGCAATGTTAACACGATTTAGTCCTCCGTCTATTTAACCGTTTGTTGATCGTGATCTTTGAGAATATATATGTAAGTTCATGGTCCATCGTCGATCAGAAAATCTTCAATCCCAAATGGAAACTCTACATTCCAGACTTCAAACAGGCCTTCAAACACTTCTGCATCAACGCCGGTGGCCGCGCCGTCATCGACAATCTCCAGAAGAACCTGCAACTCTCTTCGGAGCACGTGGACTTGGCAGATTGTGGTTCGAAAACACGTCGCCTTCTTCAGTCTGGTACGAACTTAACTACATTGAATCCAAAGGGAGGATGAAGAAATGCGATAGGATTTGGCATATTGCTTTCGGCAGTGGATTCAAATGTAACAGTGCGGTCTGGAAATGTAACTGGAACCTTAAAAAACCGACGATGGACCATGAAATTACATATATATCCTTAGAGATCACGGTCAACAAACGGTCAAATAGACGGAGGATCAAATCGTGTTAAAATTGCAAAGTTAAGAACTTAATTGGTTGAAATTGAAAGTCGAGGACCAATTTGTGAATTTAGCTATAGTCGAGGGACCATTTTGGGTTTTTCTGAGAGACCCGCTCTTGACTTTCGTCATACCCACTAGTAAGTGCAGTGGATCTATAAATAATATAAGATGCATTTTATTAAAAAAAAAAATGAAATCTGATGAAAAGAATAAGATGTAAAAAAAATAGCGCTTAATCATTATTCCAAAAGGCTGAACCCCAACCCGCGGCTCGACAGAGCATTTGGGAGGATGTAAATCATGGTGACTCAACTGAACATCAACCACAGAGGCTAGATCAGTGCGCAGTGCCCGACAGAACATTTGGGAGGATGTAAATCATGGTGACTCAACTGAATATGAACCACAGAGGCTAGACCGGTGCTCACTACGCACAAGGAGCCCCCCAATCATGGTGACTCAACTGAACACGAACCACAGAGGCTAGACCGGTGCGCAGTGCCCGACAGAGCATTTGGGAGGATGTAAATCAGTGCTCACTGCGCACAAGGTGCCCCCCCCCCCCCCCCCCCCCCGACAGAGCATTTGGGAGGATGTAAATCATGGTGACTCAACTGAACATGAACCACAGAGGCTGGAGCCCCCTCACCCCAGCCCGACAGAGCATTTGGGAGGATGTAAATCATGGTGACTCAACTGAACATGAACCATGCACAGAGGCTAGACCGGTGCTCACTGCGCACAAAGAGCCCCCCCTCACTTTGAGAGGTTGCTCTCACTGCGCACAAAGAGCCCCCCTCACTTTGAGAGGTTGCTCCCACACTGCCGCTGGTGAGACTCGATTCCTGGTCATTATTCCAAAGTTTCACCTCTATGACCAGTTGAGCTACCCATGCGGGCAATAGCGCTAATCATGAAAACCCTTAGGCTTGATAACATTATTGCTGCTTTTTCTTTCAGGAATGTTGTACTCACGAACCACTCAAACCTTCATTGCACTCCTAATGTCGTAAGGAGAAATCTCATGACGAAGAATGCTGAGATTGGATGTGAATAGACTGCGATATGGTGGTGATTGAGTTTGAAACCAATACATATATTTATATTACATCAAACATCTTTCTTCCAAACCATAATAATAATATAACCATAATTAAATATTCTTCTATATTTTGCTATATTAAAAACATAATGTATTATAATTAAATAATTTGACCTTAATTAAATATCCTTCTATATTCTATTACCATCAATAATTATTCCATAGTCTACCATAATTAAATAATTTGACCAATACAATTAGTTTGGGCGGAAAAATTGTAGAAGGAGGATTTTACTTTTAATTATATATAGATATAGATATAGATTGCGCAAGCTCTATTTTTAGTTTCATTTTCTCCACACACTAATTTCATTTTAACAACATTAAGTATCATTTTAATTGTTTTCAAAAAAAAAAAAAGTATCATTTTAATTATATTACCAATTTCATTTAAGAAATATATTGAATCATGTCCACATAGAGTTGTGTGTAGCATGGTCCTTTGTATAACAACTGTGTACATTTGTAATAGGGTAAACGTGTTCAAAAGTGTCATGATCATGTATTAGGTTTACTAGGTTTCGTGCCTATGAAAAGCTTTTTACCAAACAACACATTAATGGGTCATTTGATTAGCAAAAATTATTTAAAGAGGAATATAATTAAAACTTCATAGAAAAAATTAATTATATTATTTGATTGGTGAAAAAAATTATTAAAAATATTAATTTCACTCTTTGGATGAATTTGAAATGATAAGGAATAATAAATATTAAAACGACATCGTTTTGATCCAATGTTATGTGAGCCATGATCCACGATATAAATTGCCAACTCACCATTCACTATCGCCCAAAAAATCCGATATATGCGGAATAAATTCAGATGGATATCCAGGAGTGGAATGAAATTGTCATCTCTATTTCTAGCACACAAAGATCAGAATGGCCTCAAGGGTATCAAAAGAATAACATCAACTTCCATGAAAGTTATGGACTTTGCTCATTATTAATCAGAGTTTTTTGCACTTTTAGTCCCACGACTATAGTGGCACTGGCAGAATTGATCCACGACTTTTGAACCTTGCAATTTTAGTCCACGACTATTGATTTTTTTGCAAAAATGGTCCTTCCGGCCACTTTTCCGTCAAAATTTCACCGGAAAAAAAATTCTCCATTTTTAGCCGGGTTAAAATTGACATTTTACTTATCTCAAAAAATTAAAAGAAAAAAATTGATAGTTGACTACATACAATACTACTGGGCTACATACTACTGCCCCAGGCGGCGGAGTTCCTGGAGCAGGCAGGGCTGTTAGTAAGCGGCGGAGCGGCCGTGGCGTTCCCCGGGCTACTTGGGTTATCCGGCAGCAGCATTGGAGTGGTACATGTACTCCGCTGCCTGGGGCAGTAGTATGTAGCCCAGTAATATTGTATGTAGTCAAATATCAATTTTTTTCTTTTACTTTTTTGAGATAAGTAAAATGTCAATTTTAACCCGACTAAAAATAGAAATTTTTTTTTCCGGTGAAATTTTGACGGAAAAGTGGCCGGAAGGACCATTTTTGCAAAAAAATCAATAGTCGTGGACTAAAATTGCAAGGTTCAAAAGTCGTGGATCAATTCTGCCAGTGCCACTATAGTCGTGGGACTAAAAGTGCAAAAAACTCTTATTAATCACATATCAACAGGACTTTGATACAGCTATTATGCATGTCTGGAACAAGATTTAGAGTTCTGTTGTCTGTACAATTTCCAGATCACGGATATAAGCCCAACAGAATAAACATTTTGCTGCAGTTTTGGCAGCTAGATTTGGACGGGGAGAATTATGTACAGGATATAATACAGTTCAAGAATCCATCCCCTCTCATTGGACAATAAATACTTCTTAGATATAAAAGAACGAAAGATTAGGCTTCTTCCCCAAGGCGTTCTGCCAACCATTTTTATGAACCCTTTTGTTATGTTGACAATGCCGCGGATTTGCAGATTGGACAACTGTTCTTCACAATCAGCCACTTCTTTATGCAATCTAAGTGATACTCATGCCCACACTCAAGTCTTCCAATGTTTTCTTGGTCCTCGTAGCCATTCTGAGAGAACAGGGCCCGTTAGTTGAAGGTCAAGAAATGAAGAACACCACAAACAGTGCAATATACAGTAAAAATACCTGGCATATGACACAGAAATCAGTTTCTTGATCCAGACATTCAGCACCTTCTGAACTAGAAGAAGTTGTTGGGAAGGTGAATAATCTTGTTTTCAAATGATTAATAATGGCATCTTCTGAAAAACCAGTAGTGACACTGCCAATCTGATCACCCAATGCAAGAAGCTCCTGGGAGATTATATTTAAGTGACACCACATAATTAGATGTTTGGAAGTGACAATTGGCAATAAAACAATATAGGTTACGGTTAGCCCATGCTGAACTGCTAATTTCTTTACCTCGTAAGACATGTGATCTATGTCCATACGCATATCTCTGTGCTGATCATCAGAATCCCCTACTTCACCGTAGCCAGGAATCTCTAGCATTGCTACTCCCTATATAGAATCACCCAAGATTATCACTCACACTGTTTTCTCAGGTAAGATAACAAAGATGCCAAAAATATAATAAGTAGTGACAGAGGCAAACATACATCATCTGGCAGAACTCTCACATTAGGAATGTTACGATGCCTTGTATTGTTTGTCTCTAATGTGAAGTCCCTTCGACGAGGCCTGTAAAGCCTAATGCCAGTTGGTGGAAAAGGCGCAATATATCTAGGACCTCCTCCCTCTACCGCACCTGGAAAAGGATTTATGTTGTTTGTTGATGAGCCATTTGCTATGTGTCTACGTGAAGATGATGGCACTTGAGGAGGAAAGTTGATATTATGGCCTCTAATCCCTTGCAAGGATGGTAGCGGATGATGAGCATTTGAATGAACAAGAGGAATGTGAGGGTGCATAAAGCTTGTCAAGCTCCTATTGTTAGCAGTTACTTGATAACCTTGCACACCCATGACTCCAGCCTCTAAACAACCTCCCATGTTCCCTGATGTTTTGTGCACAAGAAGAAAAAGAAGGGACGTAATCAGTTCACACTGCTAAGCAATTGAAACTTATACTTGGGTAAAATATACAAGTGAAGAACATTCCGTTGACAAATCAAGGGAAGGGAGGTATTGGGATTTGGGGGTAACCCCAGCCAAGATGGCTAAGGATACAACCTTGTAACCACAAGGTCACGAGTTCGAATCCCAACCTTCTTAGTTTGAGCCAGTCAGCTATGAGCAACCTAGGCTGGTTTACCTCCTTGTGGTCCTTTGCCAGCTAGGGTCACAAGGCAGGGATTACCCAATGCACACGCTCGATTAGTGGCTGCGGGTTTCCCTCGTCACCCCAAAAAGGGAAGGGAGGTATTGAGGTAGGATAGGCAAGAGCAATAGATAGTACCCTGCATGTAGGGTAAAGGAGCACCCTGATTCCAGGCCCAAGTTTCACTCTGTCCACTGCTACTGCAGAACTGCATGTCCAACTGAGGATTGCCAGCCAATTGAAAGGATTGGCCTGCATAGTTTACTTGATTAATGTGACTGAAGCTATGTGCCGCTACAGATTCTGAACCACTGACACCAGACCCATTCCTCACACTTCTAAGGGATCCATCTTCCGCAAACATTAATGATTCGCAATTACTTGGTTGCATATGTGACGCAGCAGCCGTTAAACATGTATCTGACCCATGTGCATTCGAAATCATTGGGGCTGCAGAAGAGCTAGAAGCCATCATAGCATGATGGTGCTGGAGATTTCTATGGAATCCCTCAGCCATTTTTCTCTTGAACGAGCCTCTGACATCTTCCACATAAGGAGTGTTCCATCCATTATTATCTGTGTGAATGCCAGCCATGCTTTGATTACTTGAGAATTGGAGCTGATCATGCGTTGCATGATTGATTGGAATAGGGAAATCACAAGTAGCAGCTGGAGCACCCATGTATGGATTATAATGATTGGAAGATGTAGCAATAGCAGGATCAAGATTTACAGCGGGATGAGTGTGAATAGTGCTATTGTACTGTGGCATCCCATAAAATAAAGCACTGTCATGATATTCTGGGCCTTCTGGCAAATGATGCAAATACATATTGCCAGCATTTCCTAATGCTGGTACGGGTCCTAAAGTATGGGCATTAAGCTGCGGAAAAGTTGTTACACTCCCATAAAAGATACAAGGCTCGGGGTGGATATAGTCTTGCCCTTGCTGATCTGATTCTAAATCAATCATTTGTCTATTGGATGGTATATTCCTCTGCCCCATGTTGATAAATAGAAGTTTTTTGGTTATGCCTGCTCAGAAGAAAGATTCAATTAGGGGAACGAAGAAATTTTTTATCCACCAAAAACGTAATTAATATGAATTCCATTAGAAGAAACTAAGAAAGTATAACACTACAATTGGTTGAAGGTAAGGAGTAGATGGATGCTAGAATGGAAAGGGAATCCACAACTAATTGTATTTGTTAAAATGTAAATAAAGAGGGGATGTAAAAGGGAAATTATTATAGAGAGGGAAAATAAGTGAGAAATGAGTATGAAGTAAAATGAATATTCATTCTTCCATATGCAGAACAAAACCAAAACAGTCTAACAAATTATTCCACGTATCTATTCGACCCTTTGGAATTGGTGACAAAACTAGAAGAGCAAATGTCAATAAATAGCATCTTTTCTCAATAAGGCACTAAACAACTAGGGGTGTGAAAGTGGGCCAATCCTAAACCACCCCACCATTCAGAATTTCTGGCCCATGAAAATGTGGGCCTCATGGGCTTCACCCATGTGGGCTGGCGGGTTTCGTGGGTTGAATGACTTCTACTCTTCTTTCAAGTCTAATGGAATCAAATTCGTAAACCCTATCGAAGAAGATAGTGTAATTCTCATGACACCAGAATGTGTAATTCTCTGAAGTTTTGTCAAAATTAAGAGTAACTACTATTTTCAGAAATTAGATCACTCATAACAGTTCGATTCAACATATGGAACATGATCAACATCATCATTGTCCTGATATTGCTGCCTCCAGGAAATCATCATCATATGTATGGTCATTAACTGGTAAAAGAATCATAATTTGACATATATTTGAGGAACTCACAATCAAGAAAGGGAAATCTGTAGTAAACACATGAATAGATCAATTGTCAATAAATTCAAGTAGCAATAGTGAAGATGAGGGATAGACTGCAGGGCAGCTTCTTCTCTCAATCAAATGCTCAATCATAAAAACACTAGTTAAACCATAATCCAGTTTTATAAATTATATTGGAAAATAGGATATACCTTAGGCTACATATTTAAAGGGGCTAAATTAATTGATTAAGACATAGAAAACTGTTATAATCTAAGATAGTGTCAGGGTCACTCAATTGAGCTATAATGCACACGGGCCAAACCATACTCAAAGACTAAATCCAATCTATTAGCTAGTCAAAATGATGGCCTTATAAATCCATATGTTCTCTCTTATTTTTTTCAATGTGGGGCTCTTAATATATATTTTTTATTTAAAAAAAAAAAAGTTAGTTGTTTGCAAGAGCAAAAGAGATGAACATTTATATAAAGCACAAATGCCTCAAAATACACTATAAAATGGAATAAAAGAAAAGGGCATATTTGCAGTATTTACATCCAGAATTTGCATAAGAATGACACAGACAGCAACAAAAACTGCAATAACTGAACATAAAACGCATTTTAAAAACAGAGATAAAATAAGACAAAGAAAAACTTCACCTTTCTACAATCAACAAACTGATTGGCTTCCAGAGTAGAACCTTAGATTTCCCCGGCCAAATTTTGAGATAAATTATATGCAACCCCTGCAAACAACAAAAACAAAAAACAAAAACACAAAAAACAAAAAAAAAAAAACAAAAAAAAAACAAAAAAACAAAAAAACAAAAACAAAATAGAGTAAAAATTAGGAATATGAAAGAAAAAACCCTAAATTTTGTAAGAAAAATTCTAATCAATGATCATCAAATTGCAATCAAGGAAAAACCCAGAAATGCCTCCCTTTGAGGCCCTAATGCATGCATTTTACAGGGATAAAGCATATACAGAGATACACGCATACAAACATATATCTGTACAAAAGCAATGCAACCCAAAAAAACAGATTAATATTTATTTAAAAACATGAAATATATATTCATTAGGGGGTTGAAAATAACAGGAAAACTAACCAAATTGAGATTGATCAGAGGAAAACAGATCCCACAAGGGAAAGCGCAGAGAAATCTCTGCAAAAGAAAGAAAAAATTTGTAGACAGAGAAAGGAAGGCTCAAAGGAAAACCACCTGCTGCCTGTTCTTGAAATGCTCTCTAATATTTTTTTTATTTTTTATTTTTTATTTTTTTCTCTTTTTAATTTTTTTTTTTCTTTTCCGCACCTTTAACTGCTTCTTCTTGGCTCAAGGTGTACGCTTTTTGTCATTAATGGCCTCACTACGCTTCTTTAATTTCCAAGCGTACCCCTAATAGATAAGGCAGTTGAGAGCGTTTTGGTAAAATCGGTTCTCTATTTTGGTAGTATTAGCTCTTTTTTTTATTATTATTATTATTTATATTTATTATATATATATAATTTTGGTTTTTTCTTGTTTTAGAAAAACTAAAAATGAAAAGGAACTCTTTCCATTTCACATTTTCTTTGCTGGTGGAAATATAATATATATATATATATATATATATATATATATATATATATATATATATATATATATATATAATTGCAAAATGGAAGAAACAATCAAGAAAAAAGATAAACTATAAATATATATATATATATATATATATATATATATATATATATATATATATATATATATATATATATATATATAACATTAATAAGACATTTTCTTTGATACAATAAGTTTACACATCTTTATATCTTTTTTATATATAATAAAGCAGAATCTAGTTACAAAATTTTTCCTCCAAAGTGTGAATCATTTTGATAGAAACAAGATTAGCAAATATGAATGCATTAATTGTGTGGGTAGATGTATTTATACATATTTTTTGAAGTTATTATGTGTATTTATATTTTATAAATTATATAAATTATAAATTACATTGTAACAGAGCCATTAGCATTCAAAAAATATTTTATAAATTATATTATATTTTATTTTATTATTATAGCTCTATCTCTATCTCTATCTCTATATATATTAAAGCGTACTGAAGTATGGAAAAAAAGTTTATTGTGTTCAAATTTATTAGTAAAGTTTATATTTAATATAATTTGTATATATATTCATTTAAACCTCAATTATAATTAATTTGACTCCACATATATAAAGAGGAGAAAATAGATATAAAATAAATATAGTTCTTACATAAATAATCTTTTTCAAATGAATAAGTTTTTTTTTTTGTGGAGATTTTTGACAAATATCACCTATTATTTTATGAGTTAATTCCAGCAATGGTCCTCCGATTATATTGATTTTCTAAAATTAGTCCTTGACTTTTAATTTGAACACTTTACGCCCATTGACTTTCAATTTTTTTTCCAATTGAGGTCCTTTCGTCAAATTACGGTAAATTGGACTTTAAATGAAAGGGTAAAGTAGTCATTTCATCCACCTAATGCATACTTCTTCGTATTTCTCCTTTGTATGTGCGACTTTGGATATCAGATTCACTTAATTGATTAATCCCTAAATCCACTCGAAGAACAAAATTCCATTAGGGATTAGGCAATTAAGTGAATCTGATTCCCAAGTCGCGTATACGAGGAAGAAATACGAAGAATTATACATTAGACAGATGAAATGACTACTTTACCCTTTCATTTAAAGTCCACTTTACTGTAATCTGACGAAAGGACCTTAATTGGAAAGAAATTGAAAGTCAAGAGACGTAAAGTGTCCAAATTAAAAGTCATGGACTAATTTTGGAAAATCAATATAGTCGGAGAACCATTGCTGGAATTAACTCTTATTTTATTTACAAGTTTTATTTAAATACGTTAGTTATATAATTAAAGTAGTTATTTCAAATTCAAATTCCTTTAAAAAAAATTCAAATTCAAATAATAATACAAGTAACAATAAACTTTAAAATCAACATAATAAAAGCATAATTAAACATTTAAAAATATTAAATATTACATTGTATTTTTTTTTTTTGAAAGTTACTGGTTCTATTACATTGTAGTATCTGTTCATATACTTTCTCAACCTACTGAAACACAAAGAACCAATAACAACCTACTGAAACACAAAGAACCAATAACGCCTCTACTGAGGCCCGAACTCATAATCTTCCAAATGGAAGTCCAACCCGGGTACCATTAGACCACATAGTCCTGGTAAATATTACATTGTATAGTTATACTTACATTTTTAATCAAACTAATTATGAGCTCAAGAACTCAAGTACGTTTTTTTGTTTTCACAACCACTACTTTCTTTGTTAATTCATAAGATGTCAAAAATTTAATTTGTAAATTTGTTAAATTAATTATAGTTTGTGCATCGCACGGGACAATTACTAGTACGCAATATATATAGGCGCGCTCATGTGAGAACGAATGTCATGAAAGAACTGATAACCAATCACAGTCGTTTACATGTCAAAATTTAACGGATCAGATGTAATTTAAAAAAATAAGCTATTACATTTTCGTAAATAATTTAAACTTTTTGTACAAATAACATGTACTAAAAGTTCAAATAACTGGTGCAAGTAAAGTCACTTAAAATTGCAATCATTTTCACTTAATAGTGCAAATAATTTACCTTTTAACATTAGCGCACCTAAGCAAGAGAACAACCCGTGAATAATTTAGTAGACATATTTTTTAAACGGATCAGAAATACTATTTTTAAAAAATACAATGACATTTTTGTAAATAATTAAACTTTGAAGTGCAAGTAAATTGTGTTAAAAATGAAATAACAGTTTCATATAACGCACATTAGTGCAAGTAAAGTGTATTAAAAGTGCAACAAATAATGTACATTGAGCATCAATATTAAGTGAACCTAACGTTATCATTAGTTGCATCAAACATTATCATTAATTGCACTAATGTGAAATACGTTATCATTAGGTGTATCAATGTTAAAAAGGTAAATTACTTGCACTATTAAGTGAAAAAATGGTTGCACTTTTAAGTGATTTTACTCACTTTTTAATTGCACAATTACACTTTTAACACATGTTACTTGCACCAAAATTTGAGTTATTTACAAAAGTATCACTGCCTCTTTTTAAAAAATTACATCTGATCCATTAAATTTAGACACATGAATAACTGCGATTGGTTTTCAGTTATTTTCTGAGCATTCATTCTCACCTGAGAGCTCCCCCAATAAATAAATAAATAAATAAATAAATAATATATATATATATATATATATATATATATATATATATATATATATATATATATATATATATATATAATTACCTTGACACTCATAGTATTATGTTTTTTTTTTGGGACATTATTATTAGTATTTTTAGAGAAAAAGGCAAAATAAACTCGAAGATATTTATATAAAAAAAAAGTTAATTTCAACCCATAACTATAAAAAGGTCATATTAGCCCTTTAGTTTTTTTTTTTTTTAATAAATGCAATTAAAATATTTTTTTTACATATAAATTACATGCTATTGCATATTATATTGACGTGACTTCTAATTATTATTATTATTATTATTATTATTATTATTATTGTTATTATTATTACTAGCATTTTGTACGCGCGATGCGCGAAAACGTATGTCCAATATTAAAATATTTGTAAGTAACAAAATTTAAAAAATTAGTTAAAATTATATTTTACAATTTCTTAAAGCGATGATACTTTTGAATTATCATATATTTGAATAATATAGTGATCAAAAAAAAAAAAATTATATAATAATAATTTACAAATAATACTAAGCTAAGACTCACATATATGATATATTGATATGGATACACAAATAATATTAATATATATATATATATATATATATATATATATATATATATATATATATATATATATATATATGATACACATATATAATTTAACATTCATATAAATATTTAATTAAAATATAATTTATAATTAAATTAATTGTTATATGATAATTTTAATAAAATGATAATTAAAAATAGAAAAAAGATATGATAGATGTAGGTGTATGATAAGATTGGTAGATATATTAAAAACTAACGGTGTTATAACGGTGTAAGGGTGATTTTGTCCAATGCAAATGAGTGTACAATAATTAAAGTAAAATGTATATATTTATTAGCATATAAAAAATGGACAAAAATCAAGGGCATAACTTGTATTGACACTTATTATGTTTTTAGATTAGTAGTAGTAGTATGGAGTGTATACATGGATGCCATGTCAATATAACTTGTAATTTTTTAATTTTATTTAAATAAAAATGTTTTTAAAAATTTATAATAGTCTATGTGATATTTATGTATACAAACAAAATTACATGCGGAAGCTATGTCAACATAATATGCAATAACAAGTAATTTACAGATAAAATGGCTTCAATTACACTCTTTCAAGAGTTAATAACTAGTAACTAATATGAAACTTTTATTCAAAAAAAAAAAAAAAAACTAATATGAAACTTTTTTTTTTTTTTTTTTTTTATAATTTAAGAGTGCAATTGAATTTTTTAAAATGATTCTGGAGCTTATTTGACCCTTCTACTTTTATCAGCTTTAACAAATTATAGTCACCCACACTAACCTGCTAGCTGACAGGGACGGAGGGAGAGGTGGGGCAGTGGGGGCGGCCGCCCCCCCTCACCCCACCCTACCCCGTATATAGTATTTGTATGTATATATGTATATATAGTACATGTTTTAGTATTAGTATAAAAAAACTATAAAATATTAATAAGAAGTGAGTTAGAGAAGGTGGTAGCGCACAACTTTGGTAATAATGAAGTTAAAGGTTCTAATCTTAGCATTAACATAGTTTGTGTAATTTATAATGTGTTTTCTATTCAAATTATTTTATTAATTATGTGTCATATTTTGTTATGAATATTTTTATAAAGTTTCGATGTGTTTTATTTTTCGTCCATATCCAACAATATTTACAATTATATTTCTTAGGTAGTTTATTTATTTATTTTTAAATTATCTCTTTTGTTTTAATGTTTCGCCCTTTCTAGAAAAATTTTCTGAATCCATCTGTACTGTTTCGCCTCCCCTGTACTGTTTCGCCCCCCCTCAACCGAATTTCTGGCTCCGTCCCTGCTAGCTGAGGCAACACGACGTTAGCTCTATATACGCCGCTTTGATAGGACTAACTATAATGTCTCAAGTGTATGTAGAGTTTTTTGCACTTTTAGTCCCACGACTATAGTGGCACTGGCAGAATTGATTCACGACTTTTGAACCTTGCAATTTTAGTCCACGACTATTGATTTTTTTGCAAAAATGGTCCTTCCGGCCACTTTTCCGTCAAAATTTCACTGGAAAAAAAATTCTCTATTTTTAGTCGGATAAAAATTGACATTTTACTTATCTAAAAAAATTAAAAGAAAAAAATTGATATTTGACTACATACAATATTACTGGGCTACATACTACTGTCCCAGGCAGCGGAGTACATGTACCACTCCAATGCTGCTGCCGGATAACCCAACTAGCCCGGGGAACGCCACGGCCGCTCCACCGCTTACTGACAGCCCTGCCTGCTCCAGGAACTCTGCCGCCTGGGGCAGTAGTATGTAGCCCAGTAATATTATATGTAGTCAAATATCAATTTTTTTCTTTTAATTTGTTGAGATAAGTAAAATGTCAATTTTAACCCGGCTAAAAATGGAGAATTTTTTTTTTTCCGGTGAAATTTTGACGAAAAAGTGGCCGGAAGGATCATTTTTGCAAAATAATCAATAGTCGTGAACTAAAATTGCAAGGTTCAAAAGTCGTGGATCAATTCTGCCAGTGCCACTATAGTCGTGGGATTAAAAGTGCAAAAAACTCAGTGTATGTAAGTGCAAGCGAAGGACCCGAATGAATATAGATGAATAAGGATATAATTGTAATATTAAAATAAATGTGGCGTGTCCCGAAAGAAACAATGAATATGGGGTATAATATTTGAAATAAAAAAGAGAGTAATGTGTTATTCTGAATAATTTCAGGGGTCCCGATGAAATTAAAAGCAAGAAGAAAAGGAAAAGGCTAGCGTGGCCCGTGCCCCGTAATCTCTCCTACGAACGACATCAGCAGTCGAGAAACGAAAATTTGAAGTCTGATCCAACAAAACCGCTTCCCACCTTCGCTTACTGTCTCAAATTTCTGCACTTCTCTCTCTCTCTCTAGGCCGGAGCCGATGGGTAGACCGCCGAGCAACGGAGGTCCTTCGTTCCGATTCAACCCTACCGAGGTTAATTTTTCTCTCTTGTCTGCTTATATTTTGTATGTATGTGTCTTTCTGGATTAGTTTATGCTCGCTTATGACTGATTTTCGCGCTTTTGCCAATGCAATTTCGTTGTTGATTTTTATTTTGAAGTTTCCTTTTCCTGTAATTCAGTTTAAAGGCACATTGGTACATTTGGCATTCTAATTTATACTTGATGCTGTGAAATAAGTTACAGAAACTCATTTTTGTTTTTACTTTTTTTTAATCGGCTGAAAATATAACTAATTGAAGCAGTAAGGAAAAAAGGTGGAGGTGGGATTGAAAAGTGCAGAAAACAGACTTTTTATGTTATAATTTTATCATCAATTTGAATGCTGATCTTATAGAAGTTGTTGTAGCTCCCATGGCTGTGCAAAAAATGGTTTTAACTTCTCTAGACACTTTATGAAAAGCTTCACCAATTCAGGAAAGGTAAATGATGTAACTTGATGGGAGCTAAATTTCAACTGAAGCCAATATACTGATCTTTTCCGGCCAATGAAATTGTCAGTATGTGTGAGCCAAAGCACCAACCGAATACCCAATTTCTTCCTGTGGAAATGGAAATGCTAAATTCAACCCTGTTTCGATTATTTGATATCAATTAGCAGCTGGTGCATTATACTTCACCAGTAAATTCTTAAGTTTTAACTTGTAGTGCTCCCTGTTACCCCATGTTTACTTTAGAACATAAAGATAGAAGTTTGAGTTAATAGATATAAGCTAATTTGTAGAATTTGGGATAAATTCTATTTCTTTTTTCTTTATTTGTTTTGAGATATAGGATTGGGTTCGGTTGGGTTTCTTATTAGTTTTATGTGTACAATAATGAGCTCTTGGATAGTCATTTTTTTTTTTTGATCTATAATGTTGAAGGTTGCTGAGATGGAGGCTATTTTGCAAGCACACAATACTCAAGTGCCTACTCGTGACGTTCTTGTGTCTCTTGCTGAGAAGTTTAGGTATGTACTTACCTATCACTTATTTGGTAATTTGTTATTTAACCCCTAAGATGTCAAGGCTGTACTGTAATTTAACTGCCTTTGATTTAGTGCTTCAGCCGAGAGATCTGGAAAGGTTGTGGTTCAGATGAAACAAGTAAGAGACTGTTGTTACAAATGATTTATACTTAAGTAGTATTTCTTTTCCCTAATTTTTCATATTGTTATTCCAGGTATGGAATTGGTTCCAGAATAGGCGATATGCTCTCCGAGCAAAAGCAGCTAAAACTCCCAGTAAAGTGCCTGCTCCGGTCACACATCAAAGTGAACCAACTATTGTAAGAACAGTTCCCCAAGTCCCCCAACCTGGTCCTCCTCCTCCTTCAGGTGAAACCTCTGACTTCAATTCCATTATTTTTAGTGCTAATTCGTATCTCCTTATTTAATCATTAACCATGTCATTCCATTACTATGTCTTATTGTATTCTATATGTAATTAAGTCACAGTGAGACCAATGATCCAAACTCCTCAAGGACCTCAACCCATTGCTGCCCCTTCAGGTAGAATTTTTTTTTAGCAAACTTTGTTTTAAATATTGTAATAGTGCAATTGACATCAATGACATATTACATGATTATTTTTAATGATTGTAATTCTTATTTTACATGATTATATTTGCCTTCCTCTTATTTTATCTTCTATAGTAATTCTTTCAACTCTTTACAAAATTTTGCATTTTATCATCAGTAAGTGCAGGTAAGAATGGTTCAGATAGCTCCCAGATGGAGTTTGAAGCAAAATCTGCTAGGGATGGTGCATGGTGAGTGTTTTTAATAATTAACTCTTAGATTTTTATTTTAGTTTTGTATGTGTCTTGGTGGTTTATCAAGTATGGTTCTTATTTACTGATGCAATGTCCTTACTTTCTAGGTATGATGTGGCATCTTTTCTGTCACATAGATCCATGGAAACTGGTGATCCGGTAATTAGCATATCTTACATGTCTTAATTATTTCTCTTTGCATTTCAGATGCTACAATTTCCTATCATTTGCCAACATAGGATGAGTGTTTTCTGTTCTGGACACTGAATGATTTTGTGGACCTTTGCAACTTCATCAGATGCCTCTTGTGATTGATAGAGTATACTGCAATTAGTCATTCAGCTGCACTACATTTAATTCTTGCTCATGTGTGTAGACATTGGATGTAACAATATACACTGTTTACTTATCAAAAAGAAAATAAATACTTAGTCAATATATTTGTTGGTCAGCTTGTCCTTTTCTGCCCCTTGATATGGTCTAAATATTGCTTGGCCAACAGGAAGTTCTGGTTCGATTTGCTGGGTTTGGAGCAGAAGAGGATGAATGGGTTAATGTTCGTAGAAATGTTAGGCAGAGGTCTCTTCCCTGTGAATCATCAGAATGTGTAGCAGTTCTACCAGGAGATCTAATCCTCTGCTTTCAGGTGCACTGTTTTTACATGCTTTTATGCCACCAGTTAAGAGTCTGCTGCTTTATTAAATTTATGATATCAACCTGCTAAGGCTCTTGTAAAATTTTCAGGAAGGCAAGGAGCAGGCTCTTTACTTTGATGCACATGTACTTGATGCTCAAAGGCGCAGGCATGATGTAAGAGGTTGCCGCTGTCGCTTTTTGGTCCGCTATGATCATGATCAATCTGAGGTATTTCTTTTTAGTACTCTGCTAATGGACCAATCCATGGCTTGTCTTTGATAAATGTTTTTGTTTCTAAACTTCCCAGTCTTGTATGTAATTGTCAAATTTCGATTGCCATGTCATATTTAACTAACACAATAACTTAATATTCCAAAATGTCCATTGTTTTTGAATTATTATGATGCCATCAATTTTAGCTGATACAAATTGGCCATCATTCTCCCTAGGAGATTGTTCCTCTGAGGAAGATTTGTCGTCGGCCTGAAACTGATTATAGGTTAGAGCAACTAAATGCTGAATCTGCAACAACGAAGCAGCAAAAATCTGGTACTGATCCTCAAACAGCCAACACATTGAGGGTCTATGCTTTTTCCGAAACAGCGCAGAAACCTCCAGCTATATCATCAGGGAAGCCAGTTGAACCATTAGCTAAAAAGATAAAGACGGATGAGCATGTGCATGCTACCACTATGACTTCTTCAGCTCATATTGATGGATCTGCCTCTACATTAAACCCACCTAAGGCTGTGGACCACGTGAATGCTGGATCAAATCTGCCTCCTATGCAGCAACAACAAGCTAGTACTGATGCTCAACCTGGCAATACCTTAGAGGCCAATGCTCCGGTTGAATCACAAAAACCTCTGGCTGAGTCGGTGCAAAAGCTTCCAGCTGAATCAATGCCAGAGTCTTCAGCTGAATCAAAAGTAACGCCCCCAGCTGAACCGACATCAATGCCTCCAGCTGAATCAATGCCAAATCCAACAGTGCAAAATACCGAGGAAGAGGAGCATGCAACTGTTGCTCCCATATCCGCCGCTATAAGTTCTGTCCCCACACCAAATCCAGTTGAGTCAACAGATGAGCAGCTTAACCCAGAGGAGAATGCAAATGTTGCTGTTGTGGCTCCTGTAGCCCCCGCTATAAGTCCTGTCACCGCACCAAATCCAGTTGAGCCAACAGACGGGCAACTTAATCCAGAGGAGCATGCTAATGTTGCTGCAACAGTAGCTCCTGCTATAAGTTCTGTCACCACACCAAAACCAGTTGAGCCAACAGACGGGCAACTTAATCCGGAGGAGCATGCTAATGTTGCTGCAACAGTGGCTCCTGCTATAAGTTCTGTCACCACATCAAAACCAGTTGAGCCAACAGACGGGCAACTTAATCCACAGGAGCATGCTATTGTTGCTGCATCAGTGGCTCCTGCTATAAGTTCTGTCACCACACCAAATCCAGTTGAGCCAACCGACAAGCAACTTAATCCAGAGGAGCATCCAAATGTTGCTGCAACAGTGGCTCCTGCTATAAGTTCTGTCACCACACCAAATCCAGTTGAGCCAACAGACGAGCAACTTAACCCAGAGGAGCTTACAAATGTTGCTGAAACAGTGGCTCCTGCTACTAATTCTGCCGACACATCAAACCCAACTGAGGCCACAGACAAGCAGCTAAAGGCCTATGAACAGGCTGCGCCAGCTGTAGCTCCTGACAGTCACACAGATATTTCTGTTGCAAATGAATACAAAGATGTATCAACAAAAGATGCAGAGAATGTCAGCTCAGAAAATTTGGGAATTTCAGAGATACCAATTCAGAGTGATGTTCTGATGGAAATTTGCGCTGCTATGGATGAAGATTCAAATGCAGTGGCAGATATGACTGGTATGCTCGATACCGGTGGTGGTTCTGCTAATGTGCAGCAAGGGTAGCTGTATGTTCTTATGCTTTCAGACTAGGATTTATATAAACCTGTAAAAATTAGACCATTCTTCCAACGTTAACCATTTCGTTTTGAGGCTAGGACACTCGTATAATGTTTTTAACTTGTAAAAATCAGTTAATTCATCCAATGCTTTTAACTTGCATATCAGGTACAAGTATGAAATTAAATCCTTGATATCTTCTGACGTCCTATGTTTAATTCTTCTTGAGGTTAGAATCCCCAACCGGTCATTATGTCTGTTTTGTTTTGTTGGATCACCGTCATATTGAACAATCAACTCAATTACAAGTTTTAAACAATTTTTTATAAACCATATAAATATAAAACAAACAATAAATTTATATTATATTTATAAATTAAATTACATATCAAATATATATGGAATAAGGGTCGCCATCGAACTGAGTCCCTCAACTAACCAATTTCATTCAATTAGCTAAATTTACAAGTTTTTTCATTTTACTAACAGCTCACCCCAAATTTAAAATATTTTATAAAAAATTACTATTTAAAAATAATTATTTAAAAAAAAAAAAGGAAAAACGTCTCCGCCGACATCTCCATTGCCGGTGGCGTTATTCCTTTTTTAATTTTATAATCTTCCTTTTGCTGTTTTAGAAGAAGCAATAATTTTATAATCTTCCTTTTGCTGTTTTACAGTCCAAGAAGAAGCAATAAGAGTACAAAATCCTTCACAGAATGCGGAAAACGGCGGCACCACCGGCGGCTGGCTGAGAAGATACGGCAGGCGGTGGCTGGAAATATCGGCCTACTCCGTGTTCTTCCTCGCCGGACAAACAGTCGCCACCATCCTCAGCAGAGTCTAGTTCGAAAGAGGCGGCAACAACAAATGGATGGGCACGCTCGTACAAGTCGCCGGCTTTCCGTACCTCATTCCCTTTTTATCAAAACCGCCCTTGCGGCGGCAGATGACGGCGAAAGACTTTCTTCTTTTTCCCCTTTTCTAAAATATAATTTTAAATATTTTTTTAAATAACAATTAAAAAAAAAAAAACTAGGTGACCTGAAAATTAGACTAATTGAATGAAATTGATTAGTTTAGGGACTCAATTATTGTTTTTTAAAGTTCAGTGGCCTAATTGCATTATTGTGTGTAGTTCGATGGTCTATTTAACCCTTATTCCTAAATTTTATAATAAAATTTAATTAAACTCACAAATTACCTGAACCAAGTGTAAAAATATTTAAATTATTGTTAACTCATTATATTATTTCAGTTGTTTAAAATTAAGTTTTTTTTTTTTTTTTAATTATAGAAATCGGAATAACTTAATCGTTTACCCCATTAATTACTACTATTTTTATAAGTTTGAACTCTAAATTTAAGGGTCTATCATCACTCTTACCTTGGAGGCAGATAAAGTAGGTAAATAGCAAGAGATACGTCTCAACCGAGACCTACAGACTCTCAAATATTTGTAAACTACTGTCTACAACAAAGTCAAATCCATATAAGTTTGTCATAATTACTACTCTTTGTAAGTTTTGCAATGGTTATTAAAGATAATGCATAAAAATGATAATAAGCAAAGGAAGGTTGCAGGTCCGAATTCCATCCCAATTCAGAATTGACATAATTATTGAACAGATACTATGAATAAGTTAAAGTGTACTTAAAAAAAAAATGATAATAAACATCTTCTGTACGTTATGTAATACAATATCAATATATGGGATGACTTCATATACATTGACGTGATTCCATTATTATTCAGATGGAAATGCATGAGTGCATGCAATAGTGCATGACAACGCAACTCCACTCGCCTTAATTTTTTTATTTTTTAATTACAAAGTAGGAATAAGGGTCAAATAGGCCATTGAACTGCACACAAGAATGCAATTAGGCCACTGAACTTAAAAAACCTACAATTGGGTCCCTAAACTAACCAATTTCATTCAATTTGTCCATTTTTCAGGTTTCTCAAGTTGCTAACAAGTTACCCCTCCACCTAGGATGCATGTGTGGCATTTAAAAAAAAAATTAATTTTTTTTAAAAAAATCTTAAATTAGTTTCTTTTAATGTTTAATAAATAAAAATTAAAATAATTTGTTTTTTTGAAAATAAAATCCAAGCCGTCTTAACAAATTATTTTATATTCAAAAAAAATTGTTTTAGTTTTTATTTATTAAACATTAAAAAACTAATTTAAAAATAAATTATTTTAGTTTTTATTTATTAAATATTAAAAAAACTAATTTAAAAATAAATTATATTTAAAACAATGACACATATGCATCCTAGGTGGAGGGGTAACTTGTTAGCAACTTGAGAAACTTGAAAAATGGACAAATTGAATGAAATTGGTTAGTTTAGGGACCCAATTGTAGATTTTTTAAGTTCAATGGCCTAATTGCATTTTCGTGTGCAGTTCAGTGGCCTATTTGACCCTTATTCCTACAAAGTATTATAGTATCTAAATCTTAAAAGTAATTTAGTTCGCCCCGTGATGTGATTTAGTTATTAATGAGTGGGTATAATGTTTGAATATGTTTCTATGTATGTATAATAATTTTTTAGAAAGTTTAATTTTGATTTTTTAGTTGTATGAAGTAGACGCTTTGATACATTATAAAAGTTTAGATATAATTGTTATAAATATACAAATATTTGGCATTTTATTGTTAAAATTGAAATATAATTGGCATAATGCATAAATGTTTTAGTTTTTAAAAAAATTACTAAAGTTATATGTATGTTTATCTACAATAAATTTGATAAAGTCTCACCGAGTACAAATTAAATCAATAGACTGGGAGACATCATACAAGTTGCATTATTTTTATTTTGCACAAAAAGTTAAGAACTTTAACAAGACCAAGACTTTCATTATTATTTAATTATCATTATTCATTTCTTGTTGTGGTTAATGGATTAAAAAGCTAAGAACTTTAACAAGAGTAATTGCACATTTATGTTTATTTTGACGGGTTCCAAGTAATTATCAAGTGACATGGAGGTTCGAATCCATGACAATTAGCATGTGATTGTTTATAATACCAAATCGAAGCATGTTATCTATCTTAACTAAATGTTTATATTATATGTCCTACACTTATAAGTTGGAATAAACTACTCATCGAAAGTGTACATGGGATAATCGTCCATAAATCATAAAAGAGAGATAAATTGTATATAACAATATATTTGGTGTCCCAATGATACTGATAGTTACTTTTAAAACTAGAGTAATTTTATTATTGTGCCTACCGTTCATTAGATAAAATTTTAATATTAAATTGTTTTCAAGCATTCTATTGTTAAGCATTTGGTAACTTGAAAATAGCAGAGAAGACCAATGTGGTAAAGTAAAATAGAATAACAGTTCAATTTAATTAGAAAGTTGAAACCAAACTTGATATAATTTTATTTTTTTAAAAAAAAAATTTTGAAGTGCACAAGTTTTGTTCTTCAAGTGTATAAATTTCTATTTTTCAAATACATAAGTTTTGTTCTTCAGGTGTACAAATTTTGTTCTTTAGGTTTATAAGTGTTTTTTTTTTCTTTTTTTTTTTCAGGTGCACAAATGTTATAGAAGAGTTCAGGTGATAACAAACTTCTAAGTAAAAAGTGAAGATCGATCCGATTTATCCATTTGTGTGTGTGTGTGTGTTCAAATGAGAATAGGATCCTCTAGTAAAAAGTAAAGACTAATTCTAGCCATTTATTAAGGTTCATGATTGAAGAATTTAGTAAAAAAAATACAAAATTAATTTTATAATTATTTAAAAACTTTTTAGACTAATTCATTTTATAATTATTACAAATTTAAAAATTTAATAATATAAGATCCTGACCTTTAATTTCTCAAGATGAAAAATGTACATGGTTCACACTGTTTACATGGAGACATTGGAGAGGTATTTTCATCTGAAGTTCTCAACCATCCCATATATATATATACACACACACACATACCTAACAACACTGGGGTCCAATTGCATTAAAAAGGATAAATACTTTTCAATTCATTTTAAATAATGATTACTCATTTGCTTGATGGGTTGCTGCATACCACTTGGTGATTAACAACTCCAATAATCTAGCGCATCCACATGTACCACATGCGTACTTAACATTATACTTAGTGCATAATTGTAGGAATTATTTAAAAAAAAAAACAAAAAAAACTTTCAAGTCCAAACATACAAAAATAGAATTGGGGACTTTATAGTAATATGTATGTGTATATACATGTATTATATATTCTTATATATTTATTTATTTATATTTTAATTAATTAATTAATTATTTTTATTCTAATTCCTTTTTTTTTTTTTTAAATATTCTAATTCCTATTTACTACCAAACAAACAAATAAACTCTTTGTATTTAAAATTTAAACTCATTACATTACCAAGTATTTGATTCACATTATTTGAACTAAAAGCACCCATAATATACTTGCCCCCACAGACATCATATGCTTTTCTTCCTTAAAAAATAGATAAAACAGAAGGACCCAATAAGGCTGACAGGAATATGCCAACCTTGACAGTGGGAATGCATGATAATTTAAAACCAAAATGCTCTGCCAAAGTCAATAACTTTCTCTGCATAGACTCAGCACCTTAGAGAAAGTGATTGGCTAAATTTTCAATCATGGACCACTGGATTTAATCAAATATGGAAGCCTGAGATATGATAGGTGTAGTTAGACAAGGTAAGAGAGACTAGGCACAACTACTACTCTTAAATAGGTTGTCTACTTGTCTGTGATTTACACAAGAAACCACAAGGAGAAAGAAAGGTTAAGAGTAAGACAGGAAGAATGCATCTAACTTGGAAGGAGGAGCATCTGGATATTCTTCTAGTCCCGGCTGGTTTGCTGATCATGTTCGGGTATCATCTCTACCTCCTTTTTAGATACCTGAGATGTCCAGGGGAAACCGTCATAGGATATGAAAATCATAACAAGAAAGCATGGGTGGAGAGAATGATGCTGGTAAGAAATCGAACAATATATTCATTATTCAGCGTTTATATCGTTTTGTATAGAGATAATCACAAGTTTTGGCTAAACCTTTGCAGGTTGAAGGTAAAGACAGAACTGTAGCTGTAAACGTGATCAATTCCAATTTATCGGTATCAACTACCATGTGTTCCATGTCCTTAGCTCTCTGCTCCTTAATTGGAGCTTGGTTCGGAAGCTCTTTCAAGAACATACTTACCAGTGGTGTAATCTATGGTGACACGAGCTCTACTATTGTTTCCATCAAATACATAGCTCTGCTCTCCTGCTTCCTAGTCGCGTTTGGCGCTTTTGTGCAAGCTGCGAGATACTATGTTCATGCGAGTTTCTTAATCACCACACCAAAAAGTGACTTACCGGTGAAATACATTGTGAGGGCGGTGATAAGAGGAGGCAATTTCTTCTCAGCTGGAACACGGGCACTGTATTTTGCCACCAATTTGCTGATGTGGATCTTCGGTCCAATCCCAATGTTTTGCGCATCAGTGGCTATGGTGACACTATTGTACAACCTCGACAAAAATTCATGCGAATTGCACGAATATTGTCCCCTTCCCAACCAAGATTCCTTCAAGAAAATAGGTGAGCAAGTGAAAACGTATCAAGAAGTAATCACTGTTGCTCAGAATAATGGAGACCATGGAAGACAGTATGAGAACTTAACCTGCAAAGAGTAACAGAGATAGTATTTGCAGGCATAAAACGAAAACAAGTATCACTTCAACCAGCATATGTGAGATTTACTATTTTTTAACATTCCTATTCAGTAGAAAACAATAAAAGCATTTGAGCGGATCTGTAGATTTGCATTTAGTACTTGTAATCCAACTGCAATTTAAATGATTATAAATTGATAATATTATGAAGAATGGATGCATTACCAAAAATTGCATGTCTTAATTGAATTTGTACATATCATACAAAATGAGGAACTAAATCTATATCTTTTTTTTTTTTTTTTTCCCTTTATACCTTCAGTTATTTCGAACTATCTGAAGTTATATCATCTTTACTACTGTTACCCTCACTGCTATCTACAGCATCTGAACCCGGTGGTGTTTTTCTTTCATTTTTTGTTTCTTGACTTGTAGAGTCTCCGGAAAATGAGTTTAAGGCAAGCTGGCCAGAGTATAGGACTAAGCCTAGAGAGTTGAGGCCAAACACGAATGTTGCAAGGTAGCACACGCCATTAACAATTGTTCTGCAAATACGAAATGGCAGTTTATTAGTTTACAACATATTGTGACTATGGGTATGTGAATTGACACAAGGAAGTAGAGCAAATTACCTTATTGTTATTGTTATCTGACGAACCTGAAAATGATCAAAGAAAATGAATGAGTTGAAAAGGGCAGCGAAAGAAAAATGAAATCACAACTTTTAACAGAAAAACCATTCCAGAAACGCATCTCTTTCTCGGAATGAGTTTGAAGAGACAAACGTAACTTTATACATCTGAATATAATGTCAGGAACTACTCGTGTACTTCTAAGTAGCAATTTATCTACAGTACAATCAAATCTAGGAAGCAAATGAGAGACACACCGAGAAATTATCCGAGAGAGTTTGGCGACTCAGAGTGGACTCGATAGTTGTGGTGAATTTGTAAAGGATTATCGCAATAACACCAGCTGTCAAACCACCCAAGAGTGCCTGAACAGGTGAAGGTGGAGCCTTGGCATCAATAGGGGTCGGCGTTATTGCTTTCAAGCTCTCAATTGCCTCCTCTTTTAGTGTTTTCTTCTCTCCAGATGACCTAAACCGCTAATCCCACCATGATATGCTCAACACATAAGAATAAACTCTTGGCAAATAGTTATATGAAGTTATTTGCTCATTCAGCAGACTAAAGCTATACAAGGCAACAACAATGCAAGAGCATACAAAATGAAAATACATACATAACTTCAAATCTTCAATACAATTGTTGTGGAAATGAATCTTGGAAATTATTTAAATTGAATGAAATTTAGGAGATAAATAAGTCCATTCCTCACTGCCCGTTTGATTGGAGGGAATTAGAATTCCACTCCCACCTAATTCCAAAGCTAAGAAAATTCCTTTGTGTGATCGGGGAATTGCAATTCCCTCATTTTCACGGAATTAGAATCTCATGTCTCGCTGGTATTTTCAATTCCGCTATTTTTTAGAAGAAAAATAATACTCTTGAGACGAAATTACACTACTTCTCAAAATAGATATTTTATTTGTATGCTATAATTTTTATTTGTATGCTATAATAAGTATAGATGTTTCATTTATACTATTTTTCATACAAATATAGGAATTGAAATTTCTACTAATTCTATTCAGACTGAACTAAAATTCCTACTTTATTCCAACACTATGAAATTGCAATTTGCCAATTTGCCAATTTTTTCCCCTAATTAGAAGCAAAAAGCATTGAAATCAAAGTTCAGAAGTTCACAAACTCCAAGGAGACAAATGCTGGCTTTACCAATTCTTTGGCACGTTTCGCGCGGCGGCGGAGAGCCCGGAAGAGGAAGACGGTGATGGCTCCGGTGAGGAGGACACTAGTGGCGGTTTGGATAGGAGTAGGGTCGTCCGAGGAGGCGAAAATGGCGGGAGCTGATGAGGGGAGCTCGATGGGCCCTTCCTCCGGAGGCGGTGAATCCGCAGTAGCGGTGGTGGGGTCGTCTTGAGCTGCCTGGGCCAGCCATGGTTCCGGCGGCGCCGGCCGAAGTTTGTGGGCCCTTACAGGACGGAGAGTCTTCACGGATTTATAGAAGGAGAGATTGGATGGAGCAAATGAGGGTTTATGGGGGTGAAGAACGGGGAAGATGGAGAATGAACAGTGCTGTATCTGCAACATTCTTGGGGTTTTAGAGATAGGAATGGAGATTGAAAGATTTTGAAGGTTTATGGCTATGGCTATGGCTATGGTTTCAAATTTTCATTTTCCTGCAAAAAAAAATTATCACGAATTTTTTTTGGCACTTTTATGAGATTTTATTGAATAATATCTTGGTGGTGAAAATATCTTTCTGGTCCCATCACTTCCATTAATGAATATCTAGTAACGTTATTTCTATCAAAATCTTATATAATGTAATTCTATCTCATTAATATTTTTAATGAGTACAAGAATTAGATGACTTTAATTTTTTTTCAAATACTCATAAGGGGGCGTTTGGTTCACGGAATCTTGGATTACCTAGGTCATCTGAGTCTGGTAATGTTATATTACCTTGTTTGGTTCAAGTTATGAGATTACCAGGTAATGTTATATTACCTGAAAGCTGATGTGGCGGTAATGTTTCAAGGTAACGTGATTACCCCCATTTTTTTTAGGTAATCTTAGATTACCTTGAATTATTCCAACTTTGCCCTTGTTAACTAATAATAATAATAATAATAATAATAATAATAATAATGAAATTAATATATGTTTATATAATCAAATATACATATGTGTATATTTATATATTTAATTTTTTTTTTAATATTTAAATTTTGATATACATTCATACATATAAATAAATAAATACACACACATAATATATATATATATAAATATATTATTGAGGGCATTATTGTAAATTGATTCATATAACCTAAAATATAACCCTGAACCAAACAAGGTAATATTATATTACACCATCCAAACCAAACACACAAGGTAATCTTACATTCCCAAAATCTCACATTACCTTTCAGGAGGTAATCCTATTACCTGGGGTAATCCAAGATTCCGTGAACCAAACGCCCCCTAAGAGTAAATACACAAAATGGTCTCTCGACTATAGCTAAATTCACAAATTAGTCTTTAACTTTCAATTTTAACCAATTAAGTCCTTAACTTTGCAATTTTAACACGATTTAGTCCTTCGTCTATTTGACCATTTGTTGACTGTGATTTTTGAGGATATATATGTAATTTCATGGTCCGTCGTCGATTTTTTAAAGTTCCGGTTGCATTTCCAGACCGCATTGTTACATTTGAATCCACTGCCGAAAGCAATCTTGTCGCCTTTCTTCATCCTCCCTTTGGATTCAATGTAGTTGAGTTCGTACCAGAGCGAAGAAGACGACGTGCTTCCGAACCGGTGCAACGTCATCCTGGAGGCCTCCACGTGCTCTGACAAGAGCTGTGAAATTACATATATATCCTCAGAGATCACGGTCAACAAACGGTCAAATAGAAGGAGGACCAAATCGTGTTAAAATGCAAAGTTAAGGACTTAATTGTTTAAAATTGAAAGTTGAGGACCAATTTGTGAATTTAGCTATAGTTGAGAGACTATTTTGGGTATTTACTCGAATAAAAATTATCACAAAGAACACATTTTAGTTGCAAGATATGGTCATACCAACAAATAAAAATTATATATATTTACAAAAAATAAAAATATAAAATCACTAAGAACAAAATTATAATTTTGAATGTATATGTAAGACTATTCTTATCATTGCAATAGTCTATCACTTTCAAGTGTGGACCTTGTTCTCACATCATCAAATTTACAATTCTTTCGCTATTTTTCCTACATTCCTGCAATACTCTCACTTTAAAAAAACAATCACACTTTTAATAAAATAAAATAAATGAATGAATGAATAAATAAATAAATAAATAAATAAATAAATATATATATATATATATATATATATATATATATATATATATATATATATATATATATATAGAAAAATAGAAAAAGTAAAAAAAAAAGTACAAGTGTTGTCATTTGTCAGTTTTTTGTCTTTAGCAATGTGCTTTTCAATTTTTTTTTTTTTTTTAGAAAGCTTGCAAGACATGTAAGCAACAAAACTAAATAACAAAAATTATTTTACACACAAATATGTCACATTATCTTGCAAATGATAAAATTTTTGGGATGAAGATAGTCTAATAGGCCGAGGATCATTGACAGCAAATTGCTTAATTCATGTTGAACATATAACATAAATACTCTATGTATATTCTTAATATCAAATTAGTCTTATATAGGGCAAACAAGTTACTTGAAAGATCATGCACAATAAAGCAAAGGGAAAACTCTATTACAAATTTGTAATGTAAGGACATTACAAATTTGTATGTCTACAATTACAAACATGGAGTTATTGGCATCATCATATCCTAGGAGATAATTAAGATTATATTGTTGTCAAAAACTCAACCTATGCCTAGCTTCTATGTCTACAATTACAAGCCATAAGTCATCAAGAGTCCAGAAAGTCTACTCATGTGTTTTAGAGACAAATCTTTTTATGAGCATGTTGAGCATATAATATATAAATATTTTAGTCCAATTATCAGCTTAGACTTTTATTTGAGAGATAAACACATGTTTCAATTTAGTATCAGAACTAACCCTATGCAAAAAGTCATGAGTTGGAACCTATCAAAAATAATTGCTCGCACACATGAGTGGTATAACATAAACACGCAATCTAACTATCAGTTTAAACTTTTAGTTGGGATGTATCATATGTTTCAATTTAGACAAAAATCTTCTCACAAAAAAAAAATAAAAAATTGACAGACAAAAATCTTGTAGTTTCTCAAATTCGCGGAAGAATGTTATGTATTAGTGCATATTTAAATCAAGAACATTTATATATGTAGTAGACTAGTAGTATAGTACTGTGAGGCTAAAATTCCTAAGAATGAAAGTTAAAGTTTTTTTAACTTTGATGATGAATAATTAGCATTCTTGGCGCACATTTGATGCCACAGCCCTTGCCCAGAACCTTATCTGTGCTTTCATGTCTTCTGCTGATTTCTTGCTAGCAGCTGCCCCACTTTGCAGTGGAGCCCCAAAACTCTTTGCCAGCCATTTCTCTGATGATGTATCACCTCTTCTTCTGCTCATCTTTTCATCATCTTTCACCTTCAACCCCAAGTTCTTCAATCCTTTCAACTCTTCAGTATCTACACTAGAATGGCTCTTTCTTATCTTGGGTTGATTTGATGCATATCGCGGTTTTGTCTCCCCAGAATTGCAGTTCGAACTGGGGTTAATGCTCTCTGGCTCTGATTTCTTTCGCGGATTTTGTTTTGGGATGGTAGAAATGCTGCAACTTCTTGTCACACCCTGCAGAAGAAAACAAAAAGTTTGAATTGAATATGCTCAGAGGATGATTAAATTAAAGGTGTTCTTATTTGGATGTATTAAAGAACATAGTAAAATGTGGTGCTGACATAGTTCAATAAGGTTACCTTTGCAGTTTGTCTTGGAGGCAGAACTTTGGGTTGGTTTAAGGAGCCTTGTCTGGTCAGAGGTTTGGATTGGTTTAAGGATCCTTGTCTGATCAGAGGATTGGGTTGGTTTAAGGATCCTTGTCTGATCAGAATCTTGGACTGGCTTAGTGATTCATGTCTGGACAGAAGTTTGGGTTGGTTTAAAGATGCCTGTCTGATCAATTTCCCCATAGAAAACTCACTCTCTTCATCTTGAAATTCTTCCTTCTCTGCAAAACTGGGCAGAGATGGAGCCCTTAACAGGCTGTTACGCCACGGTTCTTGAATTCTTGGATCGTTCGTGTTTTCTGAATCCGGTTGTTGCTTGGCTGGCAGGGAAGGAGTCTTCATCAGACCTGTCCCGGGCACGCGAAGACTCAACGCTCTCTTGCCGTCTGGTATTCTGTTGATTGATGAAAAGGTTTCCTCCATGGACTTCCCAGGAAACATGTCATCATCATCTTCAGAAGATGATGTCTTTGAGGAAGGACAAGGATCAGAGTAGCATCTCAACATTCTTGGTTTTCCATCAAGCAAGTTCCCAAAAAACCAGGTTTCATCCAGAAGCTCTCCAGGCTCTATTATCATGTCATGGTTCTTAAAACTATTGCTAAGAAGATTAGGGGAGGATTGAAGGGGGACAGAGTCAAGAGAATCCATAGCAAACAAATTAAATCAAAGGTTTCTTTCTGAGTTTCTCAGGTTGTTTTTAAGGAGAGTGGGCAGATGTGGATCTTGGGTTGGTTGTTTTTATATCTAGGAAAAGGGTGTCAGAAGAGGTTGATTGGAGAGGCCATGTGGGATTTGGATGTCATGTGCTCCTTGCCATTCAGATTTGGTTCATAAGTGATATATAATAATATTGGTTCATCAAAGACAAAAGTTATGTGGACTAAAGAATAATGTATATACACAATTGAGATTATTGAAATGGGGAAAGAGATGTCTGCATCTAATTGGAGCATTCAGTCTTGCAAGAGGGCTCATGGGGGGAGATTTGGCTCATGCATTTCATGACAAAAATAGATTTGGTTAATAACTTTATAGGTCTTTATGAAAGTTTCGATTTGAAAAAAAAAAAAAAAAGAACGATTTGTGAACGTAAAAGTTGAAATAGATTCAAAAGTAGTTGTGGAAGACCATTAACGGGTCGAGAGAAAGGGAGTCAGGTCACGGAGAGTGGGAAACTTAAACCATGTTGGTCGAGCTATTGGTTTGGTAACTACAAAGTTTTAAATTTGACTTTCAATGAGAGCGGCTTATTGACCTTATTGATTATTCGTTTAAGGTATAGACATTTATAGACAACTTAGACTGATTTATGGCTTTGTGTTCCTTTGCTAGTATAGGAAATATCCCTCGGGAACAGTACGTGTACGATGGTCGGCGTCAGGTCCCCAACCCAAGACGGGCATGACCCGACCTTGCCTTTGGTACTCCCCTCGACCTGACGGTCTGCCGAGCAGTTAGAATTACCCCTCCGATGCTCGCTAGGCCCCAGCATCCTTCCGACCTACTCAGGTAGAGGGCCAATTACCGACCTGAACTCGACTGCGCGACATTTACCCGCAGAGACATTATTACACATGTGGAAATCCCTTGGGACCCCAGTTTGAGCCTGTGCATAGGCACCACGTGTCCTTCATGCAGTGAGACCGGAATTTGTCTCATACCTACAACTATAAATACTGCATTTATTGCTGGTGAGAGGGACTTTTTGCATTGAAGATAGGATATCTTTAGCTCGAGATTTTCTGACCTCACGCCAAGTAATCCGAGCTTAAAGACTTAAACCAACAATTCAATCAGACTAGGCACGAAAACCGAGTCCGAGACTGACCTAGTATCGTACACGGTAGAGTAGACCGTCCATATATTCTATATAAGCTAGTTAGGAGCAGAATGCATGGCTTACACAGTGTACATTTTAAGACAGTAATTGCGAGTTTTCTTGTTCTCAAAAAACAAAAACAAAAAAAGGGTTGATTGGAATCATAACAAGCTGGCATACCCTTTGATCAGTTGACAAATATGAGAAAATTGAGTAAACGGTCAGAATTATACTCAATCACGCATTACAAAACAATGAAAACATCAAGATTGTTACTGATATACCAAAAGAAGAAAACTATCAAAAAGTGTTCGAAAGCTATTTTGCCTTATTTAGTGTTGCCAGTTTGTTACTGATATACCCAACAAAGAAAACCACCAAAAAGTTATACAGTATAGACAACTAGACAAGCTTTATAGTTGATGCATAAATTTTTTTGAAAATTAAATCTTAATAAAATAAAATGATCTTTTAATTAACCTAATCATCTTGATTTAAAAGTCAGGTAGGCATTTGGTCCTACATTTTAAGATATTTATTTTATTTTTCTGTTGATTATGATATAGATAAATTGTCATCATCAGATATAATTATGATACTATTTTTTGTTATAGCGATTACTCTCAATAATATCCATTAGACATTAAGACCATTACTGTGGACTATGGTCTATGTAGCGTTATGGACCATGAAGTATATATCATTTTAATTACATTTCAGTTTCATTTGACAATATTGTTATGTTTTTTAGTTTTATTTTTCCTCCACGGCTCCACACTAATTTTATTATAGCAATACTTAAATATCGTTTTAGTTCTATTATAATTTCAATTGATAATATACATTATTGCTAGAGTTCTTTTTTTTTTTTTTGAAAGGATCTACACATTAGTTTAATTGTAGTAATGTTGAAGTATTATTTTAATTGCACTTCAAGTCATTTGACAATATATACTATTGTATGACTCTAGATTTTAGTTTCATTTTCCATGCACACTAGTTTCATTATAATAATACTAAAATATCATTTTAATTATACTACAGTTTCATTTGACAATAATGTGCTCTGCTTTTTAGTCTCATTTTTCACACATACTAGTTTCATTATAGTAACACTAAAGTATGATTTTAATTTTACTACAGTTTCATTCGATGATCATGGTCCACACAACGATGAGTGGACCATAGTCCACTGTATAACAACTGAATGACACGTGATCGAGTCTTATTACCAGCGACAGTGTGGAGCAACCTCTCAAAGTGAGGGGGCTCCTTGTGTGTAGTAAGTAAAGGTCTAGTCTTAGTGTTTAACTGAGTTATCATGATTTACATCCTCCCAAATGCTCTGTCGGGACTGGACGTGAGGAACCCTTGAGATTGAAAAATCAACATTTTGGGAACAATAATGTCCATTACAATAAAATATATTGTATATGATTTTACCTATTACTATCGGCACTATAAAAAAAAATATATTCTTTCGATGTTATATTTATTTATTTATTTTTAAAAAATGGAATATAGACAGCAAGGTTATTGATTGGCAAATAAGATGAGCAAACAGTAAAATATTGGGTTGGAAAAATATGGTAGGGGTAGGAGCAGCTGATGCCAGCACAACCATGTGATGGGTCTATTATTCATTACATTAAAGACAGCAAATTGACTAAAACATTATGGGTGACTTGGTTTCTTTTCATTATATGACAGCTATTGCTAGAGATAATATATAGAATTATATATGGTAGGAAGTCTAACTTGTTTTGTTTTATTTTTGTATTTGGGAGAGAAAAATGGCACTTTGATTTACCCGTACGTTTTTGTATGTTGTTTCAAATTGGCTTATTGTTTTTTTTTTTTTTAATAATCCAATTTATATGCTTTATGATAGCTATATTTAAAATTTAAAATTTTTATAATTTAATACTCAATGTTTGTATATATTTTGTGACAATTATATGTCTAATTAAGCATACCAATAATTAATATCTTTTAAACTTAAATCTTGTATACAATATAATTTATAGTAAACTAACAAAATGGTAATTTTTGGATTATTGTATTACATTTATTTAGTTCAAAAAGACTATAAGACTATTCTACTCATTATTTTATGCTATTAATTTGTATTAATATAATAATTTATATTCCACAAATTTATATTTATAAAATAATATAATTAAAAACGTAAAATTTAAAACATATTTACTCCATATATATCTTCATTTTAATCTTATCATAATTAGCAAATAAGTTTCTCTTTGAGTTATTGAGTAATTATTCCACCACAACAACATCAATTTTTAAATTAAATTATTATATTGTGCAATTTACATCTAAAATATAAAATATTTGAAGTGTAATTAAATAAATAAAACAATTTATTCATGTTCTTATATGTTGTTTTATACATTCTCAGCTAGAATTAAGCATATAAATTATCAAACATTTTTAATTCATAAATTATTAATATTAATCGTTGGTTAAAACAAATGACATAATTCGCTCTCCACTAATTATATATTAAGACCTAATACAATATTATTTCTAATTTAAAATTATTTCTTCCCTCAACAAAATATTGTTTCTAATTTAATATTATTTCTTCAATTCATTCCATGCTTTTATATTTTGTATTTTTACTACTTTTTTTAAGCTACTTAATTTGATGGGCGGTGATTGTAGCCAGTAGCCAGTAGCCACCCATACGAATTAGACCTCTTTATATTTTAACAAGACATGCAAAAACATATGGATAGGACTTCATTACTTTTATGACAAAAAATAAGAAATAGATTTAATATAAATATATATAATTATTTCTTATTTAAAAAATATATGAATAAGATGTCTTACGACACCTAAGTAGGCCTAAAAAGATTAAAAAGGCAGTATTAATCCGTAGCTTTAGGCATCGTTTTCTATCTGAGTCGGATCGATTACGTGCCACATTTGACAATTATGTCTTGGCTACCACCAATTTTCTTCAAATCTGGTACGTCGTGGATTTGTTGCCATAAATTGATTTTGAGTCACTTTATCAATCACTTTACTTAGTAAATAACTTATTAGGCTTCTTCTTAGTTTGAACCGGTGTAATCAGAAAGGATAAAAAAAATAAATGTTCTTGTATTTTATAGAATTTAAATAATTTTGTTAATAGAAGACAAAAATGATCATGTCACAATAATACTATAATTATACGCGGATATTTTAAAAAATAACTAAATGTGGATTGGACGAAAAATGAAATTAATTCAAGAAAAAAAAAAACCTTTATTGAGGAATTGCTTTCACTTAATTAATTAGCTCACTACTTTGATGGTAACATTTGTCAAAGTGCTGGAAATTCCGTATACCGATACCATCTACTTACTAAATGGTACTATACATAGTTTTAGAAACAATTCAATACATATCAGTATATCACAATCTTAAGACATTTAAAAATATATGTTTGAATTGAAGTCATCCTGGCTCGTAGAGATAGCTCAAGTGGTAAATAATTTGATCTAAAGTCATTAACGTAACGCTTCTCAAACTAGTTAATGATAATTTTAGGAGATTTAAAAATATATTTTTCAGGTAGCCGTGAGACTAACTCAAGTGATAGACCACCTGACCTAAAGTCATTAAAACTTTTCAGCTGGCTAGTCACAATAATGTGTTTGAAGTGGCCCACGAGGCTAACTCGATCATCAAGTAGTAAACCACCTGATCAAAATCTATCATCAAACTCTCCAAGATATATAATTAATGACAGGCAGGGACGACGGAGCCAAAGTGGGGTCAGCTGCCCCCCCCTCACTCCACCCCACCCCATATATAATTTTTGTATGTATATATAGTACATGTGTTAGTATTAGTAAAATAAAACTATTAAATGTTAATAAGAGTTGATTTAGATGAGTTAGTTGAATACATGTTGAGTTATGATAAAGGATAGGGGTTTGAATCTTGGCATTAACAAAGTTTTTATAGTTGGTTTGAACACAGTCACTGTACGTTTTAATAGCTTTTTTAATATTTAATACATGCACACACATATATATAACATTATTTTATATTAATAATGAGATGTGTTTTTTTTTTTTAAATTATCTCTTTTGTTTTAATGTTTCGCTGAAAAGAAATTTCTGAATTCGTCCCTACTTTTTTGTCCCTCTCAACCGAATTTCTGACTCTGTCCCTGATGACAGGGACTGACTAGCGACTCGGATTAGTGTATATATATGTTTGAAGTGTATACATGCACTATATCTGGATATATCATATCACAAACAGCATAGTTTGCCCTTAGCCTACGTGGTACAAGTGTTTACCCATGGTGTAGAATAATTACGTGTGATACGTGTATATGATATTATGATGTCTTTTTGCAAAATATTCTGATCTGCATGCATGTAGTACAGACGGCCGAGCCCACACGGCTATTTACGTGAACACTACGTCACTAATTTTAAAATGTATTAGACTAAAATTTTAATACTTGCCAATTTAATTAGATTATATTATTAAATATTACTAAATATCTATAAATTTTGATATTAATTAATTGAACAAGATATTGTAATCATATATCATATCTAAGGGCTTGTTTGGTTCGTGGAAAATATTTTAAGAGAAGTGGAATTGGAATCTCATGAAAAAATAATTATTAGGAAGATGAATTTCATTGTTTGGATGGTGGAAAAAGAATTACTGGGAATACTAATTCTATTGTTTGGTTAAATTTGGAATTGTAAGGAATAATGAGTATAAAGACCTATATGCCCCTACAGATTAATAAAAGTAATATAATTAAAAAAGAAAGCAAAGGGTAAAATAGACAATCTATTCACTTTTTGTTCCCATCTTCCATGGAAAACAAAATCTTTGGTCCAACCAAGGATTTTGTTTTCCTCAAATTTGAGGAATTCATTTTTCAATAGAAAATAAATTCCATGAACCAAACACTAGAAAACAATATTTTCTTCACTTTAATGGAAAACATTTTCCATGAACCAAACATCTCCTAAGGTGAAAATTTATACTATCGTCATTGCCAATTGGAGTGGTCATAAAACTTATCGTGAAGATAACCACTTTCCAAATCTATCCTAAGGCGATATTTATCTTTGTAATACTCTCTTAACTTTAAAAGTGGGATCTACTTCAACATAACTAAATTTACAATTCTTTTACTAATTCTCTACATCCTGCAATACTCTCTAACTTTCAAAAGTTGTCCAATTTTCACATCACATTTTAAAAATTTCTATCTTTTGTCAATAAATCTTAATTTATCTCCACAGGGAAGGGTTCAGGTGCGAAAAAGGGTTCCCATGTGGTTGTGCGGTTGACGCACCTTAAGAACACAAACAAAGCACCTTAAGTATACAACCCACACACCTAAACTTTTAAAAGCGTTCACCTTAAATTTCACACAACTGACGCACCTTAAGCATACAAATCACGCACCTTAAGAAGGAAAACAACACCTTAAGAAGGAAAATCACGGACCTTAAATTTCAATAACTACTAACATTAAGCACAAAACAGCACCTTAAATTAAGCACAACACTCAGGCACCTTAGGCACAAAACTCACGCACCTTAATTAAGAAGGAAACACATGCACCTTAAGTTTCAACAAAATACTCACATTAAGCACACAATCCACGCACCTTAAACACAAAACTCACGCACCTTAAGCACAAAAAACACGCACATTAAGAAGGAAAATCACGCACCTTAAGTTTCAAAAAATACTCATAGTAAGCACACAACCCACGCACATTAAGCACAAAACCCACACACCTTAAGTACAAACCCACGCACCTTAAGAAGGAAAATCACACATCTTGAGTTTCAACAAATACTCACAGTAAGCACACACCCAACGCACCTTAAGCACAAACCCCACGCACCTTAAACACAAAACCCACGGACCTTAAGAAGGAAACCCACGCAGCTTAAATTTGACCTAGATGCAAAAAATTACCAAATTACCACCGCATTTTTTGTTTTTAAATTTTGGTAATCTTGAACGTTGATTTAAGCAAGATCAATGGCTCAAATTTAACCGCACAACCGTACCTAAACATACATACATATATATATATATATATATATATATATATATATATATATATATATATATATATATATATATATATATATATATAGGCACACGTTCTAATGAGAAAAAGTGCACAGGAGAGAAATAAGAACCATTTATAACTGTCCACGTGTCCAGATCAATGAATAAGATGTAATTTTAAAAAAAAACGACGCGGTGGAATTTTCGTAAATAACTCAAACTTTTGTGCAAATAAATGTGTTATAAGTGCAAGTAGCTGGTGCACCTTAGCAAGTAAAATCACTTACAAGTGCACCTATTTTCAATTACAAGTACAAGTAATTTACCTTGTTAACATTTGTCCACCTAGGTGCAATTAATTATTATAACGTTAGGTGCACATAGTATTGAGGCTCAGTGCAAATTTTACTTGCACATGTAATACATTTTACATGTACTTGTAATACATTTACATGCACTTAGGTGCACTATATGAAATTGCTACTTGCACTTGTAATACATTTTACTTGCACTTCATCTTCAATTATTTACAAAAATGCCACCGCATTTTAAACAAAAATCAGTGTTTCTCATCCGTTAGATCTGGACACGTGGACGGATGTCACGCGTTCTGAGTTCTCTCCTGGGCGCATTGTTCTCATTTGAACGCGATAGATATGGACATGTGGACGGGTGTCATGCGTTCTGAGTTCTCTACTGAGCGCACCGTTCTCATTTGATCGCGATCACTCACACACTGTCATTGCTAATTACCAAACTTAACTCAACCAACTAGCTTATCAATTTTTAGCTAATATTTGCGTGTACGGGCAGCTTAGTTGGTTCCTAGGTGATAGATTGTGGATATGTACACATGATCAAGCCCTGACAGTCGTAGTGTGAGAGTTATATATATATATAATGTGGTAGACTGGACAAATTATTGTGTGGACCATGAATATAAGATACATTTTTAATATACTAAAAATACACTATTTATCTACTGAATTTACATTATTTGATAGTGTATAAAATAATGTATTTTCAGTACTCAAATAATGTACTTTATGTACACAAACAATGTATATTTTTATTCTAAAAAATGTACTTTTTATTTATGGTCCACACAGTTGTGTGGACCATGGTCCATGTAATAATGATTGTGTAGACTGCTTGTGGGCACCAGACACTGTTCCTCCCACCTAATGGGCTGCTGGGCCGCTGAGTCACCATGATTTACCCCTCCACTATTTTATCAGACTGAGATATGGCGATCTTGTAGGCAATGAAATTTCACCTTTTGCGGGCAAACTTTTAGTCAATTTTTCAACTAAGTTTGCAAACATATTCTATATGTAAATACATGGGTTGAGTTTACTATTACTTGGAGACTAGAAATGCAAATTTTTTATAGTGTGAGAGCGAGAGCATGGACCCTAGTGTCTCTAAATGCCGTAGAGCCAATGCCGAGTATTTGGTAAACAATGGATTTTGCATACTAGCTGATCTTGAATCTAGAGGGTCAAACTTTAGACCAGATCAATCCTCATTGGGAGCTAATATGATTATTTATTGTATTTGAAGACATTCAGGATTTTTTAAAATTTATTTAGTTTTGCAGTTCAGTAACATACAGCAGACAATTTATAGTTTGTATGGAAATGTGAACAGGGAAACACCAAGACAACAAAGTAATATTAAAACATCAACGTCCTGTAATTATGTAAATAAAATCTAAATGACCTTAAAATTTCCAAACTATTAGTTAGACTTCCAAAAAAGAATCTCAGTGAAAAGCTACAACCTTCAAATTAGTAAAAAACCTGATTCGTTTGATCGTTTCAGGTTTGCGTTTGCTCAACTACCTGATACGGTTTTCAAAAAGAAACTTAACAACTTCGGGAGAATCAGGATTTCTTCTAGCAGTAACTTGCAAGTAAGCGCCGTCATTTAGCATATGCTGCAATACCCTTGCAATGTTTTTCGAGTCATCAATTCCAAGATGGTGACTGCCCAACAACGGAATCTTTAGTTCCCTCATCATGGAAAGCATCCCCGGGGCCTGCAGTGCCACAAGTAAAGCAACATTGTCGTTAAGAGGGGAAAAAGCCCTTGGCAAGAGCAACAAAATATACCGGATGAGAAGAGGCGAAGTGTATCCTTACCCTCCTCTTATAGAAGTTTAGATAGATGTCTTTCAAATTGATCCATTCCATAAAATATGGTGGGAGTTTCATCTTTGCTACTTCGCATTGCTGGGGGACTTTTGTTTTCAAATCCCAATTCCCACTGTTGCAGGGAAATTACAAATTGGTTATCAGCGCACATTCCCTTGAATAAAAATTCTTACTTTCCATAACCATAACATAAATCTGTTCCTTCTATTATTTTGGGTTTCAGGAGAATATTGTATGCAGGATTTCAACATGACAAGCATTTCAGAACCTCACACATGCATATGCACTGCAATTAGACAGACCAATGAAACAAAAGGACAGATTCTAAAAGATTGGGTAACTGGTTTATCCTAAGATGAGAAAGCCGACAAGTATGCACTGGAAAATAAATTGGGACCATAGAAACAAATCAAGCCCCAAAAAGTTCTCCGGAAACAGAAGAGATTTGGCCATTGCCAATAACTATAAAAGGATTCACATATTGTCTTAAAAGAATTATTTAAAAAAATAAAAATCTTAAACCCTTGTTTCTGTTAACATCTATTTTTTTCTCTTGCAGTTATGAGTTCTCTTTTACAGTTGAATTTTAGATCAGAAAACTTTAGGGGAGATTTGATCTTCCATTCTCAGAAACTCACCAAGTTACAAATGCAGCCTTACTCAGACAGCCACCCCGCTCCTTTCGCCATAATTCATTTTTAACTAGCCAAGTTTCAAATTCTTGAATAACTTCCTTGAATGGGATAGCTGTATCATGCCAAACCCTGCAAGAGTTTATTTACAAGGAAATTAAAACATTATGCATTGTTCACAAATTTATGAACGCTGGACACAAAATCATGCCCAGAGATGTTAAGTTTAAAGGAGGATGAAACACCATACATGATGCCTGCGCTAAAACCATAAAATAGGAGACAGCTGGAGGAAAATAATTCTTCATTACTGGATTCTAAATTTTAATCTTTTGAGTAGGTTTGAAAGTTCATATTGTTGAGCATATAATATATATAAACATAAATGTGCAATCCAACTATCAGCTTAGGCTTTTAGTTGAGATGGAGCACATTCTTCAATTCATGTCTTTAACTAACCAAACATGCTTCCCACCTCTTAAATTTAATTTTATTAATCCTTCAAATTATTTGATCCATTTTGTATAATTGCACAAACATGATAGCTATAAAGGAGGTGAACCACATTTTAGACAAAGATACCCAATCTTGTGAAAGGTAGAGGAAATATCATACCTGTCAACTCCTATTTCTCCATATTTTCCTTCTATATATTCATTTATTCTTTTCTTGGCCATTTTTGAGGGCCTGACAAACCTGTAGCAATATGGTGAAAAAAAAGAAGAGAGAGAGAGCTAAGTGGTTGAAACTAATACTCCCTGCACACAAATCATTTATCTTGACATATAACATACTCAACAGGCATGGAAACAATCAAACAAAACATACTATGGTCACTTGTTATACAGAGTAACATTCTATCTAAAAGGTCATAACAATTCCAATGCTAATGCTACAACATTATTTCTTGAAGGCCATAAATCCTGTTGAGCCAGGTGTGGGGGGTGGGGGGTGGGGCGATGGATTTCGCCTTTTGTGGGTATGAAATTAACAAACTGACATTGATATAACTTGGCTGAAAGAGGCAAAACATTCAGAAGCTACCAAAGCCATTCTAAAATTTAGCAGCGTGTTAATCTTGGCATCCTGCATCTGTTTATTTGAAAGATTTTCTTTACTAAATTTTTCAAACAGCTTGACACAACAATGCTATAGTTTTCAATGTGTATAAAATCCAACCTAAAATTCTTATTACTGCTACTGTAAAGCTCTGAATCCTCAATGATATGGCACCAGAGAATATGATAAACGAACAGAACCTCACCTATGAAAGAAATCGATAACATCCATGGTTTTCGTATCAAACAACAAAACCGGAAATTCAAGGATTTCAACTTTCCCTTCCAAATCAAGCACGAGGAGAAACTCTAAGCCCTGCTGCTGCAAATTCCTGGATTGCAAAGCATTTGCCGTCATTTCCCCAGAGACGGAGCAACTGTGATTGAACCTCTCAATATGAATCGCATCATCCATCTAAATTAAAGCCAGAAAAAAGGAAAACTATATAAGTTGGGAACAGTGAAAATTTCCTGTTTACAAGCGCCCTAGGAAGTTGCTGAGGAATGTTATTACCTTAGTGCACTTACCTTGAGTGAAGTACAAACACGTTGGTCTCCACCGGGTGTTCTTCGGCGGAGGTGCCGCAGCAATCGGAGACGAGGCGGATTCTTCCGCCATGGAATGGACGGCAAATGCGCCGATTTGGCGGTTGCGTTGGATACAGAGAGAGAAAGGAGAGGAATATGTAAAAGGAAGCGGCGGAGAACGAACAGGATTCCGGCTAAACACAGTGACCCTTGAGAGAGCCATTTGCGTAGAATTGGGTGACGGCCTGAGTGAGCAGTGGAGTTACCAAATTAAGGGGATGTTTACTTCATTTCTCTGTTTTTTCATTTTCAGTTTTCCATTTCTCCAGTTTTCCTTATCCATTTTTCCAGTTTTTCATTTCTCCAATTTTCTAATTTTCATTCCATATTTCTCCTATTTTGTATTTTTCTAATTTTCAAATTTCATTAAATAAAATCATCCCATATGGGCCCTATAGTTTTGTACATTTATACAACAAAGATAATAATAATAATAATAATAATATAATAATAATAATAATAATAATAATAATAATATACAGATAATATATAATAATAAATTAATAATACTAATAATAATAATAATAATAATAATAATTATAATAAAGAAGAAGAAGCTCGCTTTGAAAAGAGGGGCGGGGGGCGTTGGTACTAATAATAATAATAATAATAATAATAATAATAATTTTTTTTTTTTTAAAAAAAAGGAAGCAGAAGAAGCTGGCTTTGAAGAGGGGGTGGCGTTGGTAATAATAATAATAATAATAATAATAATAATAATAATAATAATAATAATAATAATAAAGAAGAAGAAGAAGAAGAAGCTGGCTTTGAAAAGAGGGGCGGGGGGTGTTGGTACTAATAATAATAATAATAATAATAATAATAATAATAATTATTATAATAAAGAAGAAGAAGCTCGCTTTGAAAAGAGGGGCGGGGGGCGTTGGTACTAATAATAATAATAATTTTTTTTTAAAAAAAAAAAGGAAGCAGAAGAAGCTGGCTTTGAAGAGGGGGTGGCGTTGGTAATAATAATAATAATAATAATAATAATAATAATAATAATAATAATAATAATAATAATAATAAAGAAGAAGAAGAAGAAGAAGCTGGCTTTGAAAAGAGGGGCGGGGGGTGTTGGTACTAATAATAATAATAATAATAATAATAATAATAATAATAATAATAATAATAAATTAAAAAAAAAAAAGGAAGCAGAAGAAGCTGGCTTTGAAGAGGGGGTGGCGTTAATAATAATAATAATAATAATAATAATAATAATAATAATAATAATAATAATAATAATAATAATAATAATAGTAATAATAATAATAATAAATTAAAAAAAAAAAAGGAAGCAGAAGAAGCTGGCTTTGAAGAGGGGGTGGCGTTGGTAATAATAATAATAATAATAATAATAATAATAAAAATAAAATTAATAAAGGAGAAAGCTAGCAATGAAGAAGCACGTGTCAGATTTAAAGACTGAAGAGGGGGAGGCGTCAGAATGGCTTCACGCGGATTCGATCCTGCGACCTATTGCAATGCACTGTTCACGCGTGCTTATCCATTTCTCCATTTGGAGAAGTTGGTTTTTCATTTCTCCAAAATCCTTAAGAAAAGTGGAGAATGGAGATGGAATAAGGATTTGGAAAGAGAATTTTGGTAAACAAGTTTTCCATTTTCCATTCTTCCACCTCTCAAATTCTCTGTTTTTCCAGAAAATTCTCCATTTTTCCATTTTAGTAAACGACCCCTAAGTCATCTATTTTGAAAAGCTTACCCAATACGTGGAGAATGAAATTATGTAACTTAATTTGACAATAACTATAGTCGATAATCAAATTGATAATTTTACTATAAGTAATAGAATAAATGAATATTTGATAATTTTGCTATAAGTAATAGAATAAATAGATATTATTATTGTAACGGATATAATTCTCGTTATTAATTCTATCATTATCACCTTTATATACTTTCAAAAAAAATTATCATCTTTATATATATATATATATATATATATATATATATATATATATATATATATATATATATATATATATATATATATATATATATATATATATATATATAGGCGAGTTCAGGTGCGGCAGTGTCTTACGGTGCGGGGATTTCTTACGGTGCGGCAACACCAATAGTTCAACAAATATGCACCATCAACGTTAGGAAAATACACCACAAAAAACAGAGTAAACAGAGCCCTGCATCACCAAACACACACCATTAGGTGTGAGTAAAAACACCATACACTGTTCAGAAATACACCATTGGGAGTGGTGAGTTATATGGTGTATTTTTTTGAGTCTGTTGTGTATTTTGTGATGTTTTATTGCATTTCATTGTGGTGTGTTTTTCTAACACACTGTTGGTGCATATTGTTAACACTGTTGGTATATTCTGGAATTCCGCCGCACCGCCGCACGGGAAGACCCCACCGCATTTGAACTTTATTATTTATATATATATATATATATATATATATATATATATATATATATATATATATATATATATATATATATATATATATATATATATATATATATATATATATATATATATATATATATATATATATATACTAGTTTTTTCTATGCGCGATGCACAAAAGTATATGCCCAATATTTATAATTTTAAAAATAACTAACAATTTTTACTAATTAAAATCTAAGTGAAATGAAATGTATTTATTATATTAATCCAATATATAATGAATATATAATGTTTTACAAATACTGTTATCATTAAACAATATAAGAAAATATATGGTAGATGCATGTGCGTGGTAAAAGTAATGGAAAAGATAACAGAAGTTATAACGGTAAGGGTATTTTTGTCCAAAAAAATTGTATAGTACAACTCTAAAAACACAATGTACAAAATGGTTAGCATTAAAAATATGGACAAAAATGAGAGATATAACTTTGATTGAGACTTATTATGTTTTTAGATTATATATATATATATATATATATATATATATATATATATATATATATATATATATATATATATATATATATATATATATATATATATATATATATATATATATATATATATATTTTGAATCTGGTGCACACCCCTAGTCAGCCGAGTCCGTGAGCACACTTTTTGATCGTTGATTTTGATTTTTTAACAATTCAGATTCTGTGGTAATTAAACCCACATGGGCAAGGGTGTCTAATTAGGCAGGGGTGGTTTTGTACTTTGTATTTGTCTTTAATATGATAACTCCTTTAGTTTTGCCGGTTAGTGTGCGTGTGTTTAGAGATTTTATAGGATTTTATTTTTGTTTCTCTCCCCTTGCTCTCGGTTTCTGATCCAGTCTCGCGGCCTCACCGTTTCTCCTCCTTGCTCTCCTTCCGTTCGTCTCTTCCCTCTGGTACACAGGTGATCCGAGCTTTTGTCATGGCTGGTTCCAGCAGGAGGCACTCTAAGCGGCTTAGGGACATCTCTTCCGCTTCCAGTTCGGGTAATATTTTTCTACGACTTTTTTTTTTTCATCTTTTGTTGTTTGTTTCGGGGTTTTTTTCCCGAGGTTTGTGGGTTTCCTTGTGTTCAATAGGGGCTTGGGTTGGGAGTGAGGATTTTGTATTTTTCACCCGGTGTAGTTTGTTTTTTTGGGGGTTTTTCACCGGTGTGTTGGTAGTGGCTCAGTGTCTTTAGGGTTTTTTTAGGGGGGAGGGGGAGGGGGGGGGGGGGGGGGACCGTGTGCAAGTTAGGCTAAATGGACTTGGCATTGCGGGTTTTTCTTCTGTATCCCTGTGCAGGTTTGGGTTGTGGCATGTGCGTTGGGTGGTTAACGGAATTGCTTGGCTTCATATGTGTGGGTTCCTGGTTGGTCCATACGTTCGACAGGTATTTTTGGTCCACTTTCCCTTCGCTGTTTATTTTTTTTTATTGGTCGGTTTAGGCAGTTGATGCACGAGGTGGTGTCCATCCACCTGATGTTGCTGCTCCAGTGAAGGTAATTTGTCTTGTCATTAAACAGTATATTGCATGTGGGGCGTCATGTTCTTGTCTGTGCATAGACTGTAGTCGGTTTGCGCGTATTTGTTGTCTGTTTGCATGTATGATTTGGTTTGTGTATACACAGTCCGTAATAGGTGCATACTACGTATTCAGGAGTGGTGGGATGGTCATGCTAATGGGGTTTTAATGTTTCTATCTTTGTTTTTGATTTGTACAGCGTTTTTCTTTCATTGAGTATATGTTGTTGACGGGTTTTAAATTAAATTTCTTTTTTGAAGTATGTTGTGTGCACTTGTGTAGGTAGGTTAGTGCAGTGTACTGTAAACGTGTTGTAGTATTAAATAATACCACGTAGCGTGGGAGGTCATCGGTCTGTGCGTAGTCTGTGTGTGTGAGAAAGATGGGCACACCCCTACGGTGCTGGTATGCGTGGTGACTGCATGTGATTTTTCAGTTCGTCTCTTGAATCAATATTTGGTTAATTTTTAAGTATCCAGCTTTATTGCGTATGCTTGTTTAACGTAATGTCATTTCTGTAGCATGATCTTATGCCCGTTTTCTTTGAGGATGTGAGGGTTACTGCTTTGTTTTTTAAGGTCACAAAATTGGTCCCTCGTAGGGTTCGATTTCCATGGCGCGATGCAAAGAACAAAGTAGATTGTGGCGTGTTTGCGATGCGTCACATGAAGTGTTATGTTGGCCAATCCTACACTTCATGGGACTGCCTACGCACACGTCGTAACTCGTAAATGCAAATACCTGTGCTGCTACTAGCCATTGCTCTGCTTTGCTTCTTGGTTGATTCTGCAATCTCACCCTTTCCTTTTCACCGCAAAAATTCTTCACGCAATATTTATCTTCATCACAGTTTGTAAAATAATCCAAAATATCATTTTCCTTTCATAATATCCCTAGAATAATGCTTAATCTTCCAATCTAATTATATCCATAATTAGACAACTAACTACAATTACTATTCAATCCCTTTGATTCCAATAAATCTTTAATTACTTTGAGGACCTCTTATAATCTCAACCATTGATGGGAAATGAATCTATGGAGATCATGAGGTCTCATGAACTCATCTAGCATAGGGGTGGCAATTTGATAATTTTTACGGTCAAATTTAAAATGCGTGATTTTCTTTCTTAAGGTGCATGGTTTTTGTGCTTAAGGTGTGTGGTTTGTATGTTTAAGGTGAGTAATTATTGAAACTTAAGGTGCGTGGTTTGTGTGCTTAATGTGAGTAGTTATTGAAACTTAAGGTGCGTCAACATGAAACTTAAGGTGCGTGTAGTGAGTTGTTGAAACTTAAGGTGTGTTATTTTAAATTAAGTGTGTGATTTGTGTTTTTAAGGTGCGTGGATTGTGTACTGAAGGTGCGTGGTTTGTGTACTGAAGATGCGCAATTTTCATGCTTAAGGTTAAGTCGCTTGGTTCCTTCTAGAGGTGTTTTTTTTTTTAATTTTAATTTTAATTTTTTAATTATATATATATATATATATATATATATATATATATATATATATATATATATTGTCATGTTTCATGCATGTGATAATACATCTTTAAATTTTCAAAAGGAAAAATACTTAAATAATTATTGATTATAAAAGGGGCAAATTATTTTTACACTCTTCACATTGCGATTTTTGTTTATTGCATTTTGAGAATTTAAATCAATCTGAGATTTTTAAAACAAGTATTGACAACCCATATAAATATGTGGTGGCGGCTGTGTTTATTAGCTGCGTATCTAATTATATTATTTATTGCTAGTTTATTAAATAACAGAACATAATGTCATAGAAGTATATCCTTTTTATTATGATCAATATTGGGTTTCAGTATAAAACCATATTAGTTCTATCAACTCACTTTATGTTTCATCTTTTGGTGTATCTATTTCTTTTAGCGGGTTGAATTGTATGCCTTAATTGCTCTTTGTCCATCAAACAGTTAGCACGCTTCGGGCGTTATATTACTGTTTTGGCTTTTGGATCCAAATTTAAACAATGTGAGCAATTATAGAGGCAAATATGTTGTCGACAACTGTAATGACATTATTTATAAATATCTTTCATACTCATTGCATTATCAACCAAATATATGTCACTTTCCAAAAAATATTTGAATTGGTTGTTCCGCTGCTCAAGTATTTTAATTATTTTGGTGCACCTATAGTTTTACTGAGGGTTTTTGCCTTCCAAGCGAAATATCTTTAGGATATTAAGGAGTGACGAGATTTCTATACTAGATCTAGTTTTTACAAATTCTTAAAATTGATAAAGGAAAAAAAGGTAGAGATATCAAGCCTAGTTGAGGGGATTTTAACCCCTTGATGTTTCTAGCAGATTATTTGTTATTTTTGAACTTGTGATTCAGTATAAACTAGTACATGGGTTTGAAGATCTTGAAAATTTTTCCACATTCTATTAAATTCGGACTTCAAATCTCCCCCTTAATAATGCCTAGAAATGATCTTTAAAATATATTATGCAATCAATTTTCCTTTTTTTTTTTTTTTTATTTTTATATCTAGCTGGAAGGGGGAGACCCAACAACACTCATTATATTTCTATGAGTTACGACATTACATCTTTTGATATTTACGATACTTCTAATGTGTTCGAGATATAAGTTACGATATGTGTAAAGATTTTTCCTTTGTTATTTGTTAATTTTAACGGTAAATTAACAGAAATTTTAACATAAGACTAATCATGGCAATCAAATGAAAGTTATGGATGTAATATGACAAAATTAAAAGAATATGACTAATTAAATATAGCAATGCCGCAATAGTTGAGAACTAAAAATTGAAGTTGCTCCTTTCATTAAAAAAAAAAAAGAAAAAGTTGAAGTTGCTCAAAATTATGAATGTAATATGACAAAATTAAAAGAATAGGACTAAATGTATGTGACAACGGCACAAAAGTGAAGGATTAAAAGTGGAACATGCTCCACCAAGACAAAAAAATGTCTTTAATTTAATTTAACATACATCGAAAGCTAGCACCCACTGCAGGTGATACCTTGAATATGAAATTGATAAACATATGAGTGAGATAGTATTAAAAAACATGAAAGTTACGTTCTTATTTATGTTCACCAAAAGGGAAAGAAAAAAACAAAAAGCAAACTTAACTCCCACTACTGGCCACTGCCATATGAATTGAAAAGAAATGAAAATCATCTTTCCCTGGGGAATTGAAGTCAATAATAAAGATTGCATAAAATGAATATCTTTTATTAAAAAAAATTCATTTATGCATGTTATTAGACCCAGAAATGTTTCCCATTTGCCCAACTCGAACTAGAATTTGTATTTGACCCATAATCTTCTGCACCAACAAGGGAAGCATACAGCTCCTCAAACTGCAACCCCTCCTCATCTTGGAAGCTGGAGCTCATGCCTTCATCACAACAGCTAGGTGGAGAAAATGAAGAAACCCTAGCTATGGCTGCCCCTTCTTGCAGCCCTTGTGATAATGATGGTGAGGCTCCAACCACCAACATCTCTTCTGCCCTCTTCAGCTCTTCCCTCAGCTTCCCCATCTCTTTCTCGAGATGTTTCTTTTCAGCCAACGCGCTCTCGAGCTTCACCTGGAGTGCACTGTAGTCGAGCTCCAGGCTCTGGCTCTTCCATCGCGCTCGCCTGTTCTGATACCAAATTGCAACCTGTCGCGGTGGGACCCCTAGGTCCCGCGCGAGCTGGAACTTGCGCTCCGGGTCGAGTTTCTTGTTGGAGTCGAAACTCGCCTCCAAGAGCTTCACTTGGTCTTGGGTTAGCCTCTTCTTGTTGTGGTTGAGAGATGATGATGATTGGGTTTTTTGCTTGGTTTGAGAGTTCATGAAATTCATGTCAGGAGCTGAGGTGAAGATTTAGCTAGGAAGTTGCAATGAAATGAAACGAAACGAAACGAAACGTCATATATATGCATTTATTATATGGTATGGTATGGGTTGATATATAGGCCGGCCAGGGAACAGATGAGGCTTTAATTTAATGTTTGGTATATATGATTATTTTAATGTTCTTTGATTTGATATCAGCTGATTAACTAATGTGTTTGCCATTTGCCTAGCTATAAAGTATACTTTATAGCTACCTATATATACTAATTAACATACCAAGTAATTAGTTACCTAGCCAGGCAAAATGGCTAACACTATACAAAACTCTTTATATTTGATTAGAGTTGAACATTATACAATTTCCATTAGAAGTAGTCTTAGTGTCAATTTAGGCATGACTTACTCTAAAACGGGCCAAGTCGGGTAGGGTTAAGACTAGCCTTTCTAGGACTATGATTGGGACTAATTCAGTATAGTCGCCTCTAATAATTTTTGTTAAGAATGGAATTTAAATTTTAATTTTAATTCATGAATATAATGTAAATTTTACTACATCTATGAACATAACTAATGTGCTTATTATTTATGTTAATTTAAATACGATGCATGTTATGACCTCCCACATAATTTGAAAAAAATAAAAGAAATACTCCAAAGTGCGTATATATGGAGTATCTTGATCGAATGACATCTATCTAAAAGCATGTTTAGGAGAGTGGTCCACTGATCGAGTCACACTTCAAAAATTAGGTTTTAAGAATGAATTGTGTTTTAACTTATAAAAAAAATTAATTAAAAGAGTACCAATTGTTTCAATTTCGCCAAGAATAGTGACACGAAGTTGCACTTTGATACTGCATTGTAACAAAGTCAATACTACTAAATAAACAATTGCTTTAATTTTATTTATTTATTTTTATTTTAAAAGAAGAAGATATAACTGAAAAAAGAGACAATGGACTACATAATTAATTGTAGCCAAGTCATGTCCACACAATCTGCAACCAACAATGATCGTAAACCATTCGAGAAATCGTCAAACATACACTTGAAATCCTAAAAGCAATATTTCAATTATTGTGGCTATTCGGTTAGCACAAGAATTTGGTAAGAAATAATAGTGTTTAGATTTTGATGATGTTAATATTTATATAGATAAGAAATTTAGTATCTCCAAATTTTCATTGATTGTAATAAGTTGGATATAGGACATTTGTAAAGGCTAAAATAGGACTCAATTTATTTGCCTAAACTTTAGTTAGTAGGTAGATGTTGTCATGAAAATTCTGTGATCAGAGTATATCGTTGTGCATTCACTTCAACAAAAGCAATATGATATATTCTATACTAGTGGTTCCAGTAGATCTTGATAGATTGACTGGTAGATCTTTTTCAATGAACATGATTGTCAAATCCTAGCAGACTTGTCAAGCGGTAAATCTATCAACTTGACTTAGTAGATGCACTACCCAACGTCAGACCTTGTAATTCATAAGTTGAGGTCTTTTGATAAATGTGTTATCATCAAAGACAACTGGAATCAACAGAACTATCTAAGTCAAGATACAACATATTCTCTCAAGACAGCAAATTCGAGGTTTACGAACAAAAGTACATCTAGCAGATGCTAGTACAAGGAATATGGATTGTCTTATGAGAAAAAGAGCTATTGGGCACATCTCTCAAGAGTTACTTTAAGATATGTTTAGAAAGGCTATATATATATACCTACTTTCAAGGAAAAAAATATATGATATTTTCACCTAAAAAGTATTGGTTAATACCCAAAGGTCAATTATGTGCAACGGAAAAATGAGAAGATGACAAATTTTTGGACACCTACCATCTTAGAAAGCGTCAATAAATAGATTCAATTGAATTTTTGGCTCCTCATCTCTATAAATATATTCTCACTACTTATTAGAAGCTTAAATAAAGTTTGCAAGCTTGAAAGAAATAGAGAGAAATTACACAAGTACTCAAGCCATACATCTAAGCATTCTAAGCTTCAAAGAATCATCTAGATTATGTCAAACTATTTAATTTGTTAAGACATTAACCCATCACTCCATGGTTAAGAGGTTTGATAATCTTCACTCAAGACGACTTTATGGACAACTTTTGGAGATGGAAGATTGGGTAGTGAAAAACATGTCAAAGAAGTTTAATTAATTAGAAAGTAACCTAGTTGCCAACTAATTGTATTAGTTTGACATAACAACTAGTAGTTGGCTTGGTTTGCAACTAGCATAAAAGGCTACATTTTACCTATATATATTAATAGCATTTAAGGAGAAGAATAGCGTACGAAATTCCCAAACCACTATAAAAATGTTATCTTACTTTCTCTCTTCTTTACTCTCTTTAATTCTATTATTAATCGAACCAAAATACATAATCCACAAGCTAATTAACCCCCTTCTAAGCTTTTACTTGCCCAACACCAACAGCTTCCCTAGGGTCAGGTTGCATCATAGAGCTTCAACCTGGCATCTTCTAGCCAACTCCCTTATAGCTTGGATGATCGATATGCAAATAAGGGTCGCTATTATTATACTCATGTATGACCACCTTAATATCGTCAACGAATCACACAATTACTCTCTAACTCAACCATTCTATAACCACGTTCCCAACTTAATTAGTTGGGGATCTGATATAAATGACTCATAATTCAACAATCAAAGTGAGTATTACCCGTTTTAATTTTATTAACACTGTTTTAACCGTTTTAATGTCTGACTTATGATCAATATAATAACTATAGTTGAAGATGGCTAACTTCCCGTGCATGGGCAAGTATTCACGTGAAGTTGGGCCTACAACACAAGTAGAGAAGAATATTTTGGGGAAGATATTACCCTAAAAAACTTTATCCTTAGCTTTGTGGATTAAGATGTTCCTATTTCTATAAATAATAATAATAATCTTTTTTTAATATATATTTTTGGGAAAAAATATTTATATCAAACAAGTTCCAATGTTTAGGATCATGTACTTGGCCAAATTTTTGATTGCTCCATTAAATAAACTACGACCAAAAATTGCTAGCTATGAGCTGTCTAATTAGTTACAAAAGAAAAAGAGACTAAATTAAAGTATTTTAAAATAGAGAGAGAGAGAGAAAGGAAAAGATAAAGCAATTCAAGCATATCCATGTTTAGGTTTCACTTTGTTAAAACAATTATAAAATTGAAAGCAAGATCATGAGATCATGTAAGATAATAAATGGATAATATTAATTAGACATATATAAATTTATAAACAATTTTAGGAAGCCTCTAGGATTGTGCCTCTTTTTGTAAATGGAAAGAATAGAGATGTTTAATTTAGATTAGGGAAAATGGCACTTTTTCCCCCTATGTTATATGCTTATAGCACTTTTTCTTCCTGAGTTATTCATGCATTTACATTTGTCCCCTCAATTATTATAAAAGTGGCGGTTTTTCCCCCTGATAATATTAAATGGACATTTCTACCCTTAAAACAAATATTTTATTTATTTATCTTCTTCAACAAATTATTGCTTATACGTAGGGATGACCACGGTTCGGTTCGAACTGAACCAAACACTATAGCAATCAAATTAAAAATTTTCGGTTATGATTCATAACATAACCCAATATTTGGGTTTCCGTTTATTAAAATCGTGAACTGGAAAAAAATGGACCCTGAACCGTGAACCGGAGGTTCAAATCGGAATAACTACTAGCAATAGCTTAAATTAGAATTATAATATTTGCAAATAGTGTATGTTTTTTTTCGCATTTATATTGACTCTCACATATAAGTATATATACTCACGGTTTGAGTTTTATTTTGAACCGTCGGTTCACAATTTTGGATCCAATTTGAACGGTTGGTTCAAACTTTCTTTTAAAATTTTATTTTTTTATTTTTAAAATATTCTAAATTCAACACTTAATGTATTTTATTTTTTCAAATCGTGGTTATAATTTGTTGGAGAAGAAAAATAAATGAAATATTTATTTTAAGGGTAAATATGTCCATTTAATATATCAGGGGGAAAAACTGCCACTTAAATAATTTAGGGGGAAAAAGTGCTATAAGTATATAACAAAGGGGGAAAAAGTGCCATTTTCCCTTTACATTATATTAATTAGATTGAGAATATATAGAAGGAAAAGAATTTGTGATAATAAAGATCTACCCTTCTTCTGTATTTCTTCTTTTGACAAGAAGCACTTTGTTATGATAGATAAGATTCTAATGGATGTGAAACTTTTTTAGCAGGTTTTTGACTCCCAAACATATTCGAGTCACGGTAAACTCTAATTTCACACTTTGAACTTGTGAGAACTCCAAGAAGAATAGCTAAAATAGTATAATAACAATTAATTAATATATTTCATTGTTTCTTAATTTTCATATACAATGAAACTATTTATACTAATTTACTAAAATCTATAATAATTAACCTACTAAAATTATATATTATCTGTATAAGGTAATGATATATTATGATATACATAATTTTCCTATGCTAATTTAGACACAATATTATCTCTCCCACTAATTAAGTTGTAACATTCTAATTATCCTACTAATTCTAGAAACATAATTAATTCTTCCTAATTAAGCTACATAATTACAATTAAGGGCGTATCACTCTCCACCCCTTCAAAAAATACCTTGTCCTCAAGATGTAGGTATAGAAATGAGCATATCCATGCCTTGATGATACTGCTTGATTGATTTGCCAAACGTGAACATCATAGATAATATGTCCACTGAATTGCCTGTAACAAAATTCCTTGTTGGTGTCATGATTTAATTTGGACCAATTCATTTGGGAATCATTTCTACTCCAAAGTGGTTGAGACTTTCCTCCAAAGACACTATTGATGTGAAAATTGAATCTTGAAACAATTGGGGAACTTTATATATATACCCGATTGTAGTTGTTGTTTTAGCTTGAATTGGTGCTTCAATTTGAGTTGAATCTATGCAGACCGTGATGTGATCCTCCATAGTATTTGATGCATGATCTACCTCCTCATTAGTAAAATTTTAATTTCTTCCTC